TGGATATCATTTTACTGCCTCGTTGGCCGAGTGGTCGCAAGTGCGATCGCCTGGCAAAGAGTCTCGGGTTCCATTCCCGGGTTGGGTAAAGTATTACTGGGTTTTTTCAAGAGTCTGGAAGTGTGCCCGGTATATGGCAATAAACTCACCCCCTATTACATGGGACTCATAACATAAATAGTAAAACTGTGGATATTACATTGTACAGTGGCATTAAGTGCCGTAATGTGCATCTCTGCTTACTCCTTCGGGGAAAAAGGCGTGATGTTATGTTATGTTAAATATGGATATCACTTTTAATGAAGTGTTTATGTTTTGTAATCAAAAACATTTATAATTCCTAATTGGATCTTTATAACACGCCAAGGCTAGAAATAAGAAAAACGTTGATTGATTTGATCAGTAATACATTAATTAATTATTCAGTGTTAGATGCATCTTCTAACCACATAAATAGATAAAGTTAATAAAATTACGTCAAAATTTATACGGAGACTATACTATCTAAATACACATTTAATACGAGTTAAACTCTGGTTAACTTTTTTTGTGGTAAGACATATAATTTTGTCACTTTAGTATTTATTTCTAAGATCCCTTTAAGGAATTAATTTATACCCTCATCTATTATAATATATCACTGATAGGTACTCATTTACAAATTGAGAACAGGGTTGCAGATAAGTTGTCGTAAGTTGCAATCACATGATTATAATAAAATCGGACTCCAAATAATACGCAACACATCCGAAATGTACGACGATGAATATTGTTTTGAATGCGGTAAATAATATTATGAACTTTTTCCACGGATTTAATGAGCGAAGTGGCAACGTCGCTGTTATTTTTTTGAGGACGCCAAATACGCGGACTTGTAATCAGAAAATCCCAAAAATATACAGCTGTGGATATACGCGCTACAGCAGCGCTCTATCTGCGCTGTGATTTCTTTGGGAACTTTTCAAAATACTATAACAGCCATTGAACCGATCTTTTGGCCTCTGTCGATTTTTAACCTACGTGTAGCCAGGACCAAAAGGACCTAAGTAGCATAGGCCAAAAAAGTGGCGTCCGGTATGCGGACGCCACAAGCAGGTGGACGCCAGATTAAATGCACTTTCGCCTTCATGGGACGTCCAATCGATAGCGGGATGTAAATATATATATATTATATATATATATAGTTATATATATATTATTATACGATGAAGTACAATATCACGGGATTGAAACTGATCACCAAGAATTACAATAGCAACCTCATCAATTGTTGGTGCATTAAATCGCCTTGCATGCTCTCCAAAAGGTGTTCTATCAGCTCTTATTACGATTTTGTGATTATCAGTTGGCATACGATCGAGAGCAATTTTAAACAATTGAACTAATGCGTTATGCTGATGGAAAAACCTTTGTAGCTCACGAATAATTTCTCGTCTTGTATTCGAAACAATTGCACAACGTTGATCCAATTCACGATTTTCATCACCAATAAAATAAATTTGCAAAAATTGATGATCAGCGTCGGGGTATGGCAATAACGAACCAGCTTGATGATAAATCTGGCCCTGAATCTGTAACATGTATACAATTTTAGGTAAATCTTATATCAGTTTTTCTTTAAATATACTTTATGCTTCAGATTGATACAAACATGGAATAATCCTGTTGAAGTATTTACCTTAAACGTCGGCATAAAATTATCTCTAATAATTTTAGTTGCACCAAAAGAAGTCATTTGAAATGCCGAATTGTATTGTTGAATATGACTCAGAAAGTGCTTCGACGCTTGCGATGTCCCAAAAATAAATGAATACAATGGTTCGGGTGGAGTTTCTAATGCTGGCAATCTTACTTTGCCATTAGCACAACACATGCCGGGCGTTTCACCTGGAAAGTTAGCCGCATCACAATGTGGACATATTGCGTCCATCATTCCAATGTATCCATACATACTATAATCAATCTGACTGTTGTAATTAAAAGCAGCACGCATCATTTCAGCCAAAACAGCACGACGTATTCGTGATGGCCGTGCAAGATTCAGTACAGGTACTGGGTTAACAAATCCATTGCGTGCATTACGTTCACGCTGCGATGCATTAGCTTGTGCGCGTTCATCTGCAGTCTGTGATCGTCTTAGTAATGCCACATCATTTGCATTACGCGTTCGCCGACCTATATTTGCTCGTCTGGCTGATGGCATTTTTCCCGTATGCACATATGTTTTCGCTTAAAAATCGAAAAAAAAAATTAGAACAAAAAAAAAAACAAATTCCCAAGAAGCTGTCGCATATGATGCTATGTGAAATCATATACGGCAACTTAGAAAAGTACACATAAATTCAGGACTCACCGTTTGTATGAATGCACTGCAAATGCAATTATGTGAAAAGAAATTTATCGCTGATAATATGCTTTAATCAAACCACGTCCAAAATGAACTGACGGCATGAATGACATAACAACGTGCTTGTCCTGTCAACAAACCTTCAAAAAAGTTTCTGTGAAAAAAGTTTCTATTGAATTCATTTATTACAAAAAATGTGACAAATGAGGAACCGCTCGACCGATTTTGTGCAAACTTCACATAAACCATCTACTAAATAAGCCGACCAAATCCTAAGCATTTGGTTTGGATAGGTGAGCCCGTTCTTGAGTTATGGAATTACAACGAAAAGTGGCATTGATTTTTATATATATAGAAGAAGAAGATTACGGCTATCTACTAGTTCGCGATGGATAAGCATGAGTGTGCTGAAATGTGTTCTGGGCTACCTGTTGACTACATCTTTAATGAAATTATTCTTGTATCTATGTTGTACATAGCAATAAATATTAGGTACGTAACCTCTCGGTTGTGAGCCTGCAGAATGGGTAGGCAGTAATGCACATTTTATACCCATTTTTAGGTCCTACCAGTTGGCTAAAGAGATGAACCTTGTAAGTCCTATGTAATTAGTAATTAGAGACACCAACACTGCATTTTACTCGTTCGTTTTTCATGTCACCGACTGCTGATATCTTCGTAGCAGCGGTCCATTTTTATGTCATAAAATAAATATTAATTGATAGGAAAGTGCCATAAGAATAGCGCGAAAGTTCAAAGTCCACCGCTTCACAGAGTACTAGTGGCGTGAAAAAACATTCATGTTGGATTTCGCCGTAACCAACCCCTCATCCCCTTCTGCAAAGGTCGACAATGCACTTTTGTACTTCGTCTGGCGTCACACTCGCAGGTAAGTGCCGCTAATTTGGTACTTTCCTTGATCAAAAATAAATAATTTCGACTGTTCAATACAATAAAAAATTTAAAAATAATCACTCTTTCATTAATTGATTTTATGTCCAACCTAATTTTAGTATTTTTTCAGCAAATTTTTAAGAAATAAGTATGCTGTTTGATGCTAATAAAACTTGACGTCACAATACACAATCTCGTACAAAATTCATAGGAAACTGTCGTTTTTGACAGTTCGAAAAAAGTATTGAATTTGACTAGTTGGCATGGCAAGTACCCAACTGCTCCCGTTAAATGTTCCGTCTGCTTGTTAGTCCTCCCTTACTTGTCGCGGAGAACCTAACGGGTAACCGGGGCTCCGGCTGAAAGTCTGACACTCCCTTCCGCCTCACCCAGGCGGGAGCAGTCATTCGATGATTTTCCCCCCTTAAAAAAAAAAAAAAAGTCCTCCCTTAGTTGGTACCCTCGTTTCATAAAACAATTCAAGCCCCAGCTTACCGGTATTGAGATTAAGATGCATATTATGACATTGTATTGGATGATGATGGGTACGTGTACACGTGATGGGTTACATATATTAAGTACTAGCTTTTACCCGCGGCTTCGCTCGCGTCACAAAAGGATAAAAAGTAGCCTATGTGACATATACCAATACACACAGCGCCATCTATACTAATATTTTTGTTTTTCCTCGGGAATACCAAATTTTTCCGGGTTAAAAAGTACCCTATTATTTAATCCAGACTTCAAAATTTACGTCTGCCAAAATTCAAAGCAATCGGTTTAGTAGTTACGGCGTGAAAGTGGAACAAACAAACAAACTCACTTTCCCATTTATAATATTAGTACGAATTTTACAATAATATGCTCGTTTGCTATCTGACTTGTTTTTATCAATGAAATTACGAGTGGGTACTACTTACTTATAGAATTTATTTCTATTCTATATCTATTCATTCTAGGCTTATTTTTTAGTCCTAATTAGGTAGGTATTGAGAGATTAGATAATTAATTCATTTTCTGTCCAGTCAGTAACTGTATCCAAAATGTAGTCAGAATAAATAAATACCTGCATTTTAATTGCAAAACTGAAGAGAACTTTGAAACGACAGACTGTATACGAAGTTTTCTAGTAGTATAATCGGTAGGACTGTTTACTTGATCTTGAAATCGAATCCTAGAACTCGTTTATTGTAGAATATTCCTTCATTTTTATCTCTGATGTTACATTGTTACCATAAAATGTTTGAAAACATTCCAACATCATTAAGGTGAACGCACACTTAGGTATCCAAGCCGAACGCGTTGAACGAATCGACTGCATCGAAGAAATGGTTTCTTGCAGGCAAAAGGCAAAATAATAGAATAGAATAGAAGATTTCTACGGTCCTTCCAGATACTTACAGACGATTCTATTTCTTATAATTTAAAAATCCTAAAATTCGTTTCGATTTCGACTCATCCGACACGATCGGCTCGGATATTATAATAATATTTGCGTTCACCTTTATCAGTGGCTAGACCTCTCTGTACCCAGGTACCCAGCCATCGCGCCAACCTTAGTTTTTATTTTTTATTATTGCTTATGGTAAGCGCAAATCAGCAACGTTTAAGTAGGAAGAAAACGTAATTACAAAATGTTATTGACATTGACGTTTAATCTTTTTGACAGCTAGACAGTGACATTTTATTTTCTTCAAAAGTTGGTCCGTGGCTTCATAACCTCATTAAACTAAAATCATATAAAAAACTAATAAATAAAATGGAACTTAACGAAAGAATTCTGCATTATTTAGATAAAAATGATAAAGTAGACACTATTAAGTTAGCTAGCGAATTTGAAGAAGACCATCAAAAAATAGTTGGTGCCGTGAAAAGTTTGGAGGCTCTTGAGATGGTTGTGTCTGAGCCTACGAAGAGTACTAGATGGGAGTTAACTGGGGAAGGCCAACAGGTTGCCGATTTAGGAAGTCACGAAGCAGTGTTGTACAACCATATCCCTGAAACCGGCATGCCACAAGCAGAAGTTATGAAGGTAGGAAGAATGATGAAAACTGATAACATTTTTGACCTGCTTTGTAAATAAAACTAACTACCACGAAATCACAAAACATTACTTTTGAATTACATATTGTTATTATTAGTTAATAATTGATGTTATTAGAAATGTATTTCATAATGAATATAAAATCTAATGTTTATGAAACCTTGACAGCTACAGTATACATTATTACTTTATGATATCATACATCAATTTCAAAGTCACCTGACCAAAAATTTGTATGTTTATTTACAGACAGTTCCAAATGCAAAAGTGGGATTCAGTAAAGCCATGTCAGCGGGCTGGATTTACTTAGATAAATCCGGAGGAGCACCACTAGTCAAGCGTAAAGTAGATACAATAGTTGACACAGTGCAGGAACACCTGAATGAAGTTAAAAAGGGTATTGACAATCTGACAACAAATGTACGAAATGACTACAAGAAACGGAAGCTGCTGCAAGAAGTCACTCTCAAAAGTTTCCTGTTATCCAAAGGACCGCAGTTCTCCACAACTATTAAGAAACTGGAAACTGATTTAACTAGTGAAATGCTGCTAACTGGTGCATGGAAAACCTTGCAGTTCAAACCTTACAATTTTGATGCTTTAGGTAATTCATTATTTTAATTAGTGCAACTGTAATACAATATTTTTCAGACAGTAGACTGACAGTTATTGAAACATGGTCATAAAAATGATGTTGTAAAGGAGATCAATTCGACTCCATAAATTTTTGGGCCTTTTCTAAAAGTAACGGGTTGCCGGGGCTCTAGCTCGAAGGGTAGGAGTAGGAATTGTGATTTTGAGTCAGTAACGGTCGGCACTGGAGTGTTCTTGGGGAAGTGTGATTTTAAGTGTAAATAGTTGATTAAAGTCTGATTTGTGTTTAGGTTTGTTTATAATTATAATGTTAACCGTCTTTAACTGCCTCGATGGCCGAGTGTTCACAATTCCATTCCCAGGTCGAGCAAAGTATTCCTGAAGTTTTTAAAAATTCTCAGTAGTAGCATGTAGTCTGGAATTGTGCCTGGTATATGGCAATAGGCTTACCCCATATTAGAATAACAAGTATCCTCATCATATTATAATAACATCCCCATATTAAAGTAACAAGAGTCAGTTGAAGATATTTAAAAATAAAACACAACTGTGGAAACTATTCGCATTATCATTACAATTCGATCATTATTTTCCTAGCACCTATAAAAAGCAATAAATGTATGAAAATTATGAATCTTTAAATTGATATAACTTCTTCATCTTAGATCCTACAACTTTTATGTCATGTTAACTATTGCTTCAAATGACTAGATCTAAGGATACATACCACATACCATATTTTTTCTTTGGCTGGCTTTTGTCTGAAAAGCCCCAAAAAAAAAGATCTTTAATTAAATGTCTGTTTTCCGTTAACAGGTCAGCCACCAGAATGTGGTCACCTTCATCCACTGCTCAAAGTACGGTCAGAATTCAGGGAGATTTTCTTAGAAATGGGATTCACTGAAATGCCTACCAACCAGTATATTGAGAGTTCTTTCTGGAACTTCGATGCTCTCTTCCAACCGCAGCAGCACCCAGCCAGGGATGCGCACGACACATTCTTCATGTCCTCACCAGCAACCACTACGCAGTTTCCCATGGAATATCTAGAACGGGTGAAGAAAGTGCATAGTGAAGGAGGCTATGGGTCACAGGTTAGTATCTTGGCATTTGTAATTTTTTGATAGAATATAACATAATCTTAGCACTTCAGGAGTAGGATTTGGGGTTACATTTGTTGCATGCATTTCTGTAGTAGTTAGAAATAAATTGGAGGAATTGATGATTATGCTGTGCTTCCTAACTGCACCTAGATACGAGAGAATTGTTATTGTTATTATGCATACAAAAAAGTATATGCATATACAGGTCCACCCTTGGTCTAAAACGGTTAAAATTAAGAAAAGCTCTTTAAATTTTATGGTTTGGTACCAGGGTTACAGATACGACTGGAAGATAGAGGAAGCTCAGAAGAACCTACTGCGGACACACACGACGGCCGTCAGTGCACGGATGCTGTACAAACTGGCGCAGCAGAAAGAGTTCACTCCACAGAAGTATTTCAGTATTGATAAGGTTACTTACTTTATCTTCCTAACTCAGAAATTACCCAATTTAAAAGGCCCCTTCAAAGACAAGATACACATTAATTTGTTTATTTTTAAAACAGTCACAACAGTAGAATACCAATTACAGTAACTGACGTATTTACAACAATAAAAGATTAGTTATAACATCTATGCGTGGCAGACTTCAAATCACAGTAAAATCTTGCCTAAACGTTATTTAAGGTGATGTAAAATACACCTTGTCCTTATAGTCATAATATTAGTTTTTGTTAACTCAAGAATGAACTAATATTTCAACCATTCTTTCTCTCAACTGCTATTGTTATTACAGGTGTTCCGTAACGAGACATTGGATGCGACGCATCTAGCTGAATTCCACCAAGTGGAAGGTGTTATAGCTGACCATGGTCTCGGACTGGCAGACCTCATCAGTGTGTTGGATACCTTCTTCAAACGCCTTGGCTTCGACAAATTGCAGTTCAAACCAGCCTACAATCCTTACACTGAACCCAGCATGGAGATATTTGCTTATCACACCGGTAAGATGCCTTGTATCCATATAGAAATGTAAATGATATATTGTTCTGTTCAAACTGATTGAATTAAGGACGAAAGGAAGAAAAAACATTCATTCGGCACCAGGCAAAAAGACAATAAAACATAGTGTGTCAATAAAAAAAATTAAAAAGAATCAGAAAAGAAACACTAACAACATGCCTATGCTAAATGGGTTACCCACTCAATGTAAGCTAGGCTCATAAGTCACCCAGCACTGATTTTCAGTGGGCACCCTTGCAGTGAAGCACGGATGGTAGCAATGTTTTATGGTTAGTCAAAAAGTTAAAGAGTATCAATAGAATGTTGAGCCTGTTCTTCTACACAAGAACAAGCTGATGATCAATTCTATTTTGTTTTGATGTTTTAAATGTGTCTATATATGGTTATGTGATGTGTGTCTACCATATGAAATAAATCCTTTGAAGTATTGTCAATGCGCTAACTCGTATTATACAGGATTTGGTACCATTAATTAATTGATTATTTAACAAGAAATAGATCAAACATTACATATATTTTACTTTTACAGGTCTCGGTAAATGGATTGAAATCGGAAATTCCGGTGTTTTCCGACCGGAAATGCTTTTGCCGATGGGTCTTCCAGAAGATGTGAATGTAATCGCTTGGGGTCTTTCGTTAGAACGACCGACGATGATCAAATACGGACTGAACAACATTAGGGACCTTGTCGGTCCCAAAGTGGATCTACAGATGGTGCAGAACAACCCTATATGTAGGCTTGATAAGTAATTTATTATTTAATGCATTTAAATAAAATATAATTATGTGAAAAACTATTTTACTTGTTTTTATTTATTGATTTCTACTGTTAGATCGTAGTTTCTGTCTCACTCATATTTCACTACAGTGTCGTGTAGTAGCAGATCTTCGGTAAATGCAATTTGAGATCTAAATGGATTTAAAAATTACGCACTGATGATCACCACTAAAAACCGTAAAACTATTAACTATAATCAAACGTTGAAAGTTGATGGTAGTTTCTACATTTTGTGATATTTCATAATTTCCCGCCGCGTCAAGTAGAATGACGCATGTCAAAATCGACTAGAGTGAGAGTGGTTAGGCTGCAGGGCCGTATATAATAAAGTTTTCCCCTATACTTATTATACTCTTTGGTCTAATTGCTCTAAACTTTGTATTTGTATAGTTCAATGTTGTTGGACGTTGAAAAATAGGTTTTGATTTTTACTTACTAACTACTACAAAGAAATAAAAAAAAATATACACCGTAACAAATAATCTTATTTGGATTGAATGAATTTAGTAGAGATATAGTTTAGGATTCGGAAAAAGACACAGGATACTTTTATCACGGAAACACACAGGAAAGCGAAATCTGCGTTAAAATTCCGGGACTCTTTATTTTTCTAAAACCTACCTATTTGGGTAAAATTAGATACCTATAACTACCGTTCGAGACCCAGATAACAATATAGGCACTTCATTAAAGAATAGGTACAGAAACGGGCAATGTACGTCTTAATGGGTCTCAGTGTCTTAAAATTTAAACCTATTTGACTGAAAATCCAAACAGTAATAATTTAAGCCCCAAAAAAGGACTCAGACAGGTTTGATCCCGGAGATCCTACGGGACGGGAACTAGGCGTTAAAATCACGGGATACCATTTCTTTCAAACTATTAATCCTATTTGGATTGCCAATTATTGTAAACTACTAAGTAGCTGCAATTCTGTACAACGATAGTTTAAGACTCGAGAGGTGACTTAGATAGGTTTTATTTCGAAAATCCCACGGGAACGGAAACTAGGCGTTAAAATTCCGAGATACCATTTCTTTCAAACTACTAAACTAATTCGACTAAAATTCTTTTTTTATATTGCATAAGCCGGTAAACGAGCAGACGGATCACCTGATGGTAAGCAATCGGCGCCGCCCATGGAAACCTGGAACACCAGAGGAGTTACAAGTGCATTGCCGGCCTTTTGGAACACCTGAGGCGTTACAAGTGTGTTACCGGCCTTTTGGAGATTAGGTAGGAGTTTCACGATCGTTGGGGATTTAGGGATTGGGGAGATTGGAGAAGGGGAGGGTAATTGGGCCTCCGGTAACCTCACTCACACAACGGAACACAACGCAAGCGTTGCTTCACGTCGGTTTTCTGTGAGGCCGTGGTATCACTCCGGTCGAGCCGGCCCATTCGTGCCGACGACGCATGGCTCTCCCACACTTAAATTCTGTGCAATGGTAGCTTGATACTTGAAAAAGGACCTAGATACCACGATTAAACCATGTAATCTTTTACAATCTCACAATAAATAAAAACTAAAGTACCGACTTGATTTTAACATCATAGATAGAAATAGGTCTTGGAAAAGGGGACAAAAGTCAAAAAATCTAAATTCCGCCTGAAGTTATTAATGCGCTGACCAAGTCGCGGGCATAAACTAGTAAATAATAAAAGGATCATCCCACCTTGTTACTATTCGAATTTGACAATATTTTTCAAAAATTACAAAAATAATAAAGAAATTAAGAAAACAATGTACTAGCGCACTTGTCACCATTTTGTCACATTAATCAATTTCTTTCAGTATTTTTTACTATTATATTGGTTTTAATATAATCTAACAAAAATGTTATCGTCTCACAGAAATGCGATTAAGTTATTTAAAACTTTGGTAAGTTACATAACGCCGATGAGAATGCCCGTGAGACATTACGAAATTCCAAAGCACCTGCAGGAAGTGGGGTGCGAGCCCAACCCTGACTTCTTCAGGATGGTGGAGTACTTCTACCACAACGCAGTGAAAGTTTGCGAGCCTTCGCTAGTCAAATACCTGGCCAAGCACACACACTTGTCTGAAAAGAAGAGACAGCAAAGAGTGAGCGGCATCCTTGCAGTAAGTAGCTTTTCTATTCACTTCTCACCAAAGGCAAATAATAATAAATTAGAAAGCGCGAATTTCTCTAATTTCATATCGATTGTGGTGACAGATTGTTTTGCATTATTGTGTGTTATTATTTGTTACCCGCGACTTCGTCCACGTGTAATAGCGACTTCTGTATAAATTGGGTTTTTGAATTAGTATTTGCCAAGGTATATTCTACGCCAGTACGACTATAACAAACATCACCACAATCGATTCCTGTACTTAGGTTATATTTATAGTAATGTTACCTGTCAGTTATCCGTTTTCAGATTAATCGTACCTAATTAATATTCTCAATAATCGGCATAGTGACTTCCATGTAAAAAATAAAAATATGCCGTCGCGGATTTTTATTTATAACTAATCAAAACAAACAATCTTACAGTACCTACCTACATTATCTTAGTGTAACTACAGCGTACGCCCAGATAGATCTCAGAGGTCCGATTTGGCTAAAATTTTGTGTTATTATATTACTTAAGCTCAAAAAACATGAAGTCATTACAAATAAAATTGTAGCCCATATGTTATTCTGATGTGTGACTTATATTACTGTGAAGTTTCATCTAAATCTGATCAGTATTTTTGCGTGAATCAGTAACAAACTCATCCATACACACAGGTCTCGAGTGTGAACAACTAAGTAGGTACTAGTACTTATTAAATTTCCAGGTGATGGGCTCATGCAACAGCTGCCTTCAGATGGAATTTCCGTTGCAGCGTAAGAATGGCAGTTACGATATTATACAGGCCTACCGTGTCCAACACAGTGTCCATCGTCTGCCGTGCAAAGGAGGTGAGTAAATGGACCGCTTGCTCTACCTCCACGTGATGTGGAAATTAATTTTCTTCACAAAATACCTACTCATGGAAACGTACTTTGTGGTGCTCTGGTGCCAAAACTATTTTGGTACTAAGGTATATTACAAAAAAGTTGAGAAACATTAATTGTAGAAATTTGTGTTTTAGTTCAATTTGTTGTCAACGTTTTTCGAGTAAAATTCTCTCGTAACTGTTTTGGCTCCTTGCTGGATTACCGCTGTGGGATCTGGAGATGACAGTACTCGCGTGCTGTGCATTCAGTTTGCGCGCGTCGCCGGGTTTAAACTGCCGCACTAGATTAGTGCGTGGCGGGATGATGAACTCCAGCGCGATCTTGTCATGGCGGTATCAGCGGAGCAACGACTATCGCAAACGAGGGCTGGACTCGCTGTCATTGCAGCAGTAAGTCCCTTCTTTGAGGAGGGTCTTGAGAGACACTAGGGCGTCCTAACCTACCGCCTGACGCAGGTGCTTACCGGATACGGAAGTGTCGGTAGGTTTCTGTTTCGGATTGGGTGGGAGGAAACGCCCGGGTGTCATCACTGCGATGACCGCCGAGGACACGGTGGAGCATACGGTGGCGGTGTGGCCTGCTTGCGCTGAGCACCGCCGTGTCCTCAGGGGTGAGATCGGCGATGGCCACCTCTCGCGTCCGTCTCGAGACAGGACTATGGTATACGGAGCGGGGGAACTTGGATGCCATTTCCTACTTCTATGAGGGAGTCATGCTAACTAAGGAGCGGGGCTCGTATAGAAACGATACCCTCCTCCCGCCCCAGTTGCGATAGATACTCCAATCAATTTTCAACGCTGCCGTAAAACGTTTCAGGCAAAACTAACTAACTAAATTACTGAAATAATAAGACAATGTTTTTAAAAACATCGTACCTTTAAGTATGTATGGTTATTGCGGTTATTGGAGCTTGGAAAACCAGATACAATGATTCCCATGGTGAATAAGTCCGTGACCATTCGAACACCAGACTGAATTAATGACCACAATGGTCTTAAAAAAGTTTTTACATTATTTTTAATTTTGCTTATGTAAAAATAACTAGTAAACCCCTGCCCAGGAATCAGATTCTCTGACGAGGTGAACTTGGATGAGGTAAAGGCTCTCGCGTCCTTGATGACTTTCAAGTGCGCATGCTCAAACATTCCATTCGGAGGCTCCAAAGGAGGTGAGCAAATCAAACTTTTCACCATTACCCTTTAATCTTAATTACTTAAGTAGCTAAGTAAGTACTTACATGTCTACTTTTATTGATATGTGCATCTTAAAATCATAAACATCACGCCTTTTATATCTGAAGGGATGCACATTACGGTATTTGATGCCACAGTAGCACCCACTTTTCACTATTAATGTTATGAGTCCCATGTAATAGGGGGTGAGCCTATTGCCATATACCGGGCACAATTCCAGACGCTGTGCTACTAGGTACATTTTTTTTTAAGCCTAATAATACCTTTAACGTCAACGGCCAACGAGGCAGTCAAGCTTATAAACTTGATTTTAATTCGCCTGATATTTTTAGGTGTGAGCATCAACCCGAGAAAGTTTACGGTGGCAGAACTCCAACGTGTCACAAGGCGTTACACATTGGAACTTGCTAAAAAGAACTACATAGGTAATTACGAATAGTACCTAGGGTACCTACATGCTCTAAGATACCATGCTAAAAAGCGTTCTATTGAATATGCTCAATACAAGCATTCTTTTGAGCAGTTTACTTGCTAGCAAACGGCATACTAATTTTAAGTAGTTATGTTACCTAATAGTTTTAATTTAAGTATAACCTGTATATACCATACCCCCTTCCATCCGCTCCTCAGGTACTTAGCATACTCAAAAAACGAACGCCTGTCGATTCGCAAGCATGCCCGAATAGAGCATGCTAATTTTTAGCATCATCCTAACACACACACACACATGATATTAAGTAAAGAGTGCTCAATTAAAATATATGTTTTCGTGCTTGAAATGAGCATGTGTATTTTGACCTTTAACCTTGACCTTTATATTTTGCAAACAGTGCCGTTCAGGTGAGCCTTATTACTATTACATTAGGAGCTTAATTCAAATGTATTTTAAAGGTGCCGGCATCGACGTGCCTGCTCCTGATTATAATACTTCCGGCAGGGAAATGTCTTGGGTAGTAGACACATACATCAAAACTTTAGGTAAGGAAACAATCCTTACTTCCTTACTTATATTATAAATTGGAAAGTGAGTTTGTTTATTTGTTTGTTCCACTTTAACGCCGTAACTACTAAACCGATTGCTTTGAACTTTTGCAGATGTATATTTAGAAGTCCGGATTAAATAATAGGGTACTTTTTATCCCGGAAAAATTTGATATTCCCGAGGGAAAACAAAAGTATTGGTATAGATGGCGCTGTGTGTATATGTTACATTGGCTTTTTTTATCCTTTTGTGACGCGAGCGAAGCCGCGGGTAAAAGCTATGTTATATAATTCTAAACGTTTATGTTGTTGTTACGGGTATAAAACTAACATAAGTAAATGTTGCCATATTTGCCAGGTTACTCGGATTTGAACGCGGCCGCGTGTGTGACTGGCAAGCCAATTAATGGTGGAGGCATCCACGGACGTGTGGAAGCCACCGGACGCGGAGTGTACATGACCATCAACTACTTCATCCACAATGAACACTTCATGAAACTGATCGGAGTGCAACCCGGATTTAAGGTACATACCTACTCAGTCAGCGGTGTTACCGTGTTACTCTTGGATACCAAACGATTTTTTACCGACTTCAAAAAAAGGGAAGTGATACTATGTTCGGCTGATTGTTTATTTTTTTTTTACATATACTACTGACGTCTAACATTCCTGTCTGCCTCATTGGCCGAGTGGTCGCAAACGTGCGACTGCCGGGCAAGGGGTCTAGGGTTCAATTCCTGGGTCAGGCAAAGTGTTACTTACTAAATTTTGTTTTAATCTTGGTAGTAGCACGGAATCTGGAGTTGTGCCCGGTAAATGGCAATAGGCTCACCCCGTATTACATGGGACTCAAGTGAAACAAGTGAATTTATTTCTGCAAATAGGCTACAAGGCAGCACTTTTACACGTCAATTTTATCAAGCGAACGATGAGGTCGACTCATAACATAAATAGTGAAAAGTGGGTGTTACATTGTACAGTGGCATTAAGTGCCGTAATGTACACTCCTTAGGGGATAAAAGGCGTGATGTTATGGTCTAACATTCCGAGACTCTCATATGGGCGAGACCCTTATATTCCCGGGTTATAGGTGCATGTTACATCCGACAGGGCAAAACAGCGATCATCCAAGGTTTCGGCAACGTGGGCAGTTGGGCAGCTGTATACCTGTATAAGAGTGGAGTAAAGATCATTGGCGTCTGTGAACATACCGCCAATCTGACGTCCACTGAGGGCATCAACCCTATAGTAAGTTCATTGTATTTTATAGTCTTCCTACGATAGCATAGGTACTCACTTCGTACGGGTACTAGAGAGAGCCTAGGTACTAAAATGAACATGGTACTAGTATGTCACTGGAAGATGAGCTGCAACATCCTCAATCCGCGGCCATTCGCAGAGTTTTAAGGCCAATGAGCGAGGCCTTTGTTCAGCAGTAATTGTCTTCTCTAAGAATCCTATCCTAATAACTACATATATATTGTTTTCAGTTTTTTTTAGTAATAGTTTATATATTTTATTTTAAGTAGATAATGTTAATTTATTAATAGTTTAATCCTTTTACTTCAATATAAGAACCTAACGGGTTACCGGGGCTCGGCTCGACGTGCAGGAGAAGGAACGGGGTGGTTTTTAGTCAGTAAGAGTCTGACACTCCCTCCCGCCTCACTCAGGCGGGATCGAAAGAAATTCGATAATTTTCCCCCCTTAAAAAAAATGACTGCACTAATATAAGTTTTCCAAATCAGGATTTGATGAAATACATGAGAGGGAACAAGAGAAGCGCTAAAGGGTATTCAGTAGGAGGTGCCAAGGAGACAGGACCTGAACTTTTGTATCAGAAATGTGACATTCTTGTGGTTGCTGCGAAGGAGAAAACTGTCACAGCTGAAAATGCACCTAAAATTCAAACGAAGGTGAGTACCTACAAGATGAAGTACATTTTTAAGGGTCACCGTGTGATTTATAAGACCGCCTATTGTGGCTACGCGTCGTTCTGCTAGTTTTGCTGAACACTGAAGTTCATTTACAGTTCTAAAGTAAATCACAGTAAATGGCATTTTTCTCCAAAAGTGCTAAATCTAGTGCTTACTTCCTTACTTATATTATAAATCGGAAAGTGAGTTTGTTTGTTCCACTTTAACACCGTAACTACTAAACCGATTGCTTTAAAATTTTGACGAAATTTTGCGTTTTTTATCCCTGAAAAATTTGATATTTCGTATTGGTATATGTCACATTGGCTTTTTATCCTTTTGTGACGCGAGCGAAGCCGCGGTTAAAAGCTATTAGAAAATAATACGAATTGTTGTTATCTGTAACGTAAACTATGATATTTGGTTGTACGTGTAGTATAGTAGACAGGCTGCCGCGCAACGTGTATGGCCAGGCGCAAACCGGCGAAGACGCGACATCAAGCTTCTTTGTCTGCCGATTTTATCCGTATGCCATAGTCGTTAAAGTTTATTTTAAACTAGCTTCTGCCCGCGACTTCGTACGCGCAATCCCGATATTTCCCGTTCCCGTTCTTGATTTTCGGTAAAAAGTAAAAAAAAAGAATTGGGTAAAAATTATCCTATGTCCGTCTCCTGGTTCTAAGCTACCTCCCTGCCAATTTTCATCCAAATCGATTTAGCCATTCTTGAGTTATAAATAGTGTAACTAACACGACTTTCTTTTATACCTCTATATACCTCTATAGATTGATATCTTCGCCGCGCCTCCGCCGGTTTGGGCCTAGCGTGTTCGATTCCCGTGTTGGGTTTATGTAAACTTGTATGTTTGTAAACGACAATGTTTTATTAAAATAATATAAAATGTCGCGTAGATCATGGCTGAAGGTGCGAACGGGCCGACAGTGCCGTCAGCCGCGGACGTGCTGCACCAGAAGAAGGTGCTGGTGATACCGGACTTACTGTGTAACGCCGGCGGTGTCACGGTCTCCTACTTTGAATTCCTCAAGAACCTTAACCACGTTAGTTTCGGCAAGCTAAGCATAAAGTTCTGGAGAGACTCAAACACGGCGCTTCTAGGTGACTGAAATATATTTTTCTGTTGAACATAACATCACGCCTTTTATCCCCGAAGAGGTAGGCAGAGGTGCACACATGTCACTGTTGACATTAAGTGCCGTAATGTGCACCTCTTCGCCAATTGCACAATGCCACTTTTCTGTTGAATTTACCTAATGTCTGCTAGTTTGGTTTTGACTATATCATCGTAGTTGGTATATGCCTATTTAGTTCATTCATCTCTTTTAAAGTACACAAGGTATAGAATTTATTCTTAAACAGGTAATTAGTAGGTTACTATATAAGTACCTCCTTATTACCTATCAAGCTATATATCTAACCGACTTCAAAAAAACAAAACAAGGAGGTTCTCAGGGGTATGTATGTATGTGCGGGTTTATCTCGCGATTGGCCGAACCGATTTTGATGCGGTTTTCAGAAAAGTGTTTGTTACTCTTAGGAGAAGATTTTAGTATATTAATAAATCGACTTCAAAGAAAAGGGAGTTGAAGTAGGTATTTTTAAACGTAGGTAGTTTATAAAATTTTTAAAAGCTATAAATCGACCTTTTGTCTGAGTCTGGGGTACTTTTTATACTATAATTTCTATTAGTTTTTAGGTATGTAATGTACCTACTAAGGTAATTAATCTAAAATTGTTGTGTTTAGATTCGGTTGAGAAATCTCTAAAGTCAGCCAGCGTAAATGCAAAAGTGGCTCCGACGCCAGCATTCGCATCAATGATGTCTGGCGCTAGCGAGCAACACATCGTGGGCACTGGCCTCGAGTACTCTATGACTAAAGCTTGCGCGGTATGGATATTTTAGATATATTATTCTTACTTTTTATGGAATAGGGTAAAGGTACAAACGGATCACCTTTAAACACCAAAGGGTCACAACACGCTTTGTTTCACGCCGGGTTACCGTGAGGCCATGGCATCGCTCCGGTCGTAGGTACTGGCCAATTCGTGTCGATGTCGAAACATGGATCTCCCACATCAAATCATCTCAATATGTGACTGAGTGTCTCTTGCTTACACTAATATCACATTTTCCAGAACGTGGCGGCTGCAGCTAAATCCTACAACCTTGGCATAGACTTACGAACCGCGGCGTACATTACGTCAATAGAGAAGATTTTCGCGACATACGATGAGCACGGCTTAGCTTTTTAACGATAGTTAGTCGCCATACTTATAAAATAAATACGGATTAAATATACACCAGAGACGGCCACTAGGGCTATGGTAGTGGTTCGACTGGCTGGGGCTTGCGATCTGGTAGCGTTATATTAATGAAGAAAGGAAAACGACCGGGGCGTGGACATCGAGGCCTGGATGTTTCTAGTACACGAAGAATGCGCCGCCATAGAGGGTGAGTGCAGACGTACTTCACGATGAATTGCAGACCTGTCTAGAGTAGTCCAACCTAGTAACATAAATGTGCATGAACAATGCTCAAGTATAATGTTTGTCCGGTCCATTAACGCATAATGTATAGCACAAGACTAAGATAAACTAAGCAAGCCAGCCAGGCAGTTAAACAAAGATTGGAGACTCGCTCTGATCTGCCACTTGACTGCATACATTTTGAACACTGAAGTCAACACCAAAGCCAGGGAGATGTAACAGTGGTCCCGTCTTTGTCTCTACAACACTAGGAAGCTCATAAGCATGCAACGTAGTATATTGCTTCCAGTGTCATATTTGAACATACATTGTACTAAGGTAGCTTAGTGAAATTGGTGATATTTTCTTACTCTCATACTTACCCAATTTGAAATATTTAAAGTCTTACATAATAATTGGTTACATCATTACATGATATGGTACTTTAGTTGGTACATGTGTGCAGTTAACATTGCATGCCAAATATTTTGAACCTAAAACCATGAAACCGCTAATTTTGTATGAAAATGATAACTGTAGGTTCAAAATGGGATATGTTGTGGTCCTGTGATTAAACCTACTGAATTGTTTCGCCTATTGGCCCCCTCTGACATCAGGATAGATCAGAATATATAATTACCTCAGCCTTGAAGTACTCCCGAGCACTCCTTACTCGTGACAAAATAGAATGTAGGTTTCTTGTACAACCAATTATAAATGCTTTGACCAAATCCAGGAATATCTTCCAAAACAAATTCTTAGAAAATTTACAACAAGTGGCTGTTTTGTTATTGTTTTCTTGAGAATTCCTATTATTTGATAATTGTTATTTCTTGATAATGATATTTTGTTGTCCATTATTATTTATTGTTGCTAATTATATATGAATGTACTGACTATGGGCCACAGTGACTTTAGCGACTATTCACGATTCACCATTATGTTGTTAACTGGGACTTGCATACCCATAGTTATTTTATTTATAAGATATTTTTACTAAATAAAAGATTTAATTTTACTAAGATTTTTTATTTGTAAAAATATATTACTTTTTATAAGTACTATTTAGTGATAACTAAGGAACATAATAAATTATTGTAGCGGAATGAATTATTGGGACAATACATATTCTGTAGGACTTTTCCCGCGACGACGAGCGTTCATGGTCGCTGAACTTTCGGAACTTCTCGATTAGTTCACTCCATAGACAACCGCGATGATTCTCGAATAACTAAAATCACGGGTTACTCACGTGAATATACTGAGAAAAGCTCTACTAGTTTCGAACCACAGAGGGGTTCTTCCTCATGAGCAGAGTGCGCGGTCGCGCGACGTCTACAGCTGCCTGGCTGGCGATGGCGCTCGCCTCGGTGTTGGTACTTGCGCTGCGAGCCTAGTAGAGCTTTTCGCAGTATATTCACGCGAGTAACCCGCGATTTTAGTTAATTTAATATGTCTTGCGATGATTCTCGTTTGGTGCGAGGCCCAGTGTTATGTAGTCTTCATCATTTAAATAAAATATGAAAATAATGCGGTGTTTTCTTTTAAAAATAGCTCCTCAACCCAATAGACACGTTTCCTCTTGTTTATTTTACAATGGTAACTAGATTTTTTAATACCATTATCTAAGTCAAACTAGTTATTACTTAAAAATGGAAATACAGTGCGTACGCGCACTGAATAAATAAATTCTTTAAATTGACGATAGTAATCTGCTTACTAAATACGTAATATTATTTTGATAATAACAATAGTTGCTTTAATGGTACAGAATATAATAAGACTATTTTTTTATAATCTGGCGTGTTCTCGGTTTTGTTTGTACCATGCAACAGTGTCGTGTATGGCGGTCTCGAACGGAGTGAATTTGAAGTCTTTATATAAACTTCTGAGTTTCTTATTCGAAGCTGTTTTCTTATACTGGCCGTCTGCCTTCGTGATGTCGTAGACTATCTCACCGGAGAACCCATGAGCTTTCTTTATCATCTCGGCCACTGTACTTATTGGGACCTCATCTTCTTCATCAACTGTAATAAAATAATAACATTTTGAATTGATCTAGACTTATTCCTACACCCACTATTGGCAGTCGACTCCTATATCATCATCAATAGCCTATAAATGCCCACTACTGACCAAAGCCTTATCTCACATGGAGAAGGTTTGAGCATTAATCCACGCTTGCATAATGCGGGTTGGCGATGTCATACTTAAAAATTATAAACCCAGGTTTCTCACGATGTTTTCCTTTACCGTTTATCAGTGGTGTCTAGATAATCTTAGAAAGTACATATAACTCGGAAAACGTCACATTGGTACTTGCCGTTGGTAGGTTTCGAAGCCGCACCCTCATGTATGAGAAGCGGGCGTCTTACACTTCCGACATCCACGAGGACTATGAAGGACAAACTTGAGACGGGTGGTGGCCAATGTAATATTATTATGTACCTGACAGTATGATAGGTTCAACGCTGTCGTAGTTCCGCAGCACCCACACGAAGAGCCGCGCGAGGTCCAGCGAGTAAATGAACTGCCGCAGTGGGCGACCGCTGCCCATCACTGAGAACTGATGGTCGCCTGCGAAACACATTCATATTATAAAGTCAAATGTAGTTGTTTTATTAACTGCTACTTTTTATGCTGATGTTACCTAATAAAGATTTATGAGGATACTGTTGCCACGACCGATATTGCTAAGTACTAAGTTTTGTTACTAAAAAAAGCGCTCCTTGCTTCGGGGCCTTTCGGGGCTAAAAAACTAGGCTAAAGAACTACCTAGGTATGTAATATCTACCGATTTTGAGTTTGCTAAATAAATACGTTTCCCGTAATGAGAATGGAATATTTATACCTCGTCTGGTGATTTATATTTATTTACCTATTTTGCGGGAGTCAGTAGAAGGTAGTCCCGTAACGCCGGACGGCACCTAACGCCGGACACTTGGATTATCTGGACAACTGATATCAAGAGCGTTTCATTTTTTACTAAATATCTTAGTTGTCTGCCACTGGGAGACTTCCCACTAAAAATTAAATCGCTCGCGTTATTAGTTATCGAGATAATATAAGTGTCCGGGACTTCCCCTACCACCCGGTGAAGTGTGCTCTATTCTATAAAAAAATCAAAGACAGTAGAATGGTGCAATGAAGCTAGTACCGTTCTGCATGGCGTCGTCCATCCGGCGGATGAGCGCGGGGATGACGTGGCTGGCGCGCAGGTTGAAGTTGTCGTGCGGCCCGAACACGTTGCACGGCACCACCGACGTGAACGTGCAGCCGTGCATCTCGCGGTAACCTCTGCAACATTCACACAATTACACTTATTACAGAGTTTACATACGGTATTTCAATGCCACGACACTCATGCCGGAATACTGAAACGTTACTCAATTTTAAGTCGTGCTTAAATATCGTGCTATCTCTGTCATTTCACAAAGGATTAGTGGTGACAGAAACATACTTAAGCGCGACTTAAAATTGAGTAGCGTTTCAGTATTCCGACATCAGTTTGTAAATTTGTACAGGTCGTCGTGTGTAAAAAATTCATTGGATGATATCCACCCTTAAAAAAAATGCTATTGTGGAGAACTTTCGAAAGGGCAGTAACAACATCCCTGAACAGGGAATCAAACCTCGGACTATGTAGAAGACTAATTTAAATTTAAGCCATATTGTAATAAAGTGTGTAGTAAGGATTGTCTTGTAGGTTACTTAATGACGTCACTGTGAGTCGTGGTTTTTATCTATTACTTGACAGTTATCAGATTCATCAGATTGAAGTAGATATAATATCAAGGATGTTGATTATAATATTAATAATCCAATTAAATATTTGTAATATAGAGTAGACCAACAAGGTCGTTTTCACCAACCACCCCTTAACCATCTCCTAACTAAGAGATGCTTTCACCTAAACTAACCCTTTACCTTTAAATGTCAGTTATAGATTGGTAAAGGTAAAAACTGATCTTAAGACTGTTACTAGCAACCTCTCTTAAATTTTAAGCAATCCCTAAACTAAAATAGGTGCCATTTAACAACATTTCGATTTTCACCAATCTATAAATGGCACCTAACTACCTAATAGTTACTTAGCATGAGCTCTTAACTAATTAAAAGATGGTTTGGGGGTAGTTGGTGGCTGCTTGACTTAGCTTAGGGGTTCCTTAATTTTAAGACAGGTTGGTGAAAATGGGCGTAAGGGTTGAAAACCACAGGTGGTTTCGAGGTTTTGAATGGTTAAAGCAGTTTACTACTCCAGGGAAAACTATAGACTGGCCTGGGTATAATGTTTAAGAAAAATTTACCTGTTTAGTATATCAATCATTCTCTTCGCGTAGCTGTAACCAAAGTTTGAAGTGTGAGGTGGACCATCATGCACCTGAAATATTATAAAAAAAAAGAATTGGAAAAGCTTAAAGTCAAAATGAAGAAAGTTTTATTGGGCAAAATTGGTTTTTAATTAAATTCAACAAATATTTATAGGTACTTGAGATATAGTTATTTATAAGTTACCTATAGAAATTTAGCCATGCATTGTTTTTCGTTTAGTGAGATCGAAATGAGACCGCTCTGATTGGTTAGTTATATTGGAGCCGGCCAATCAGAGCCCCAAACACGGTCTCCTTACAAATTCGCAGTAAGGCCTCTGTTATATTAATAGTTAGTAACTCACCATAGTCTCATCAATTGGATATGTGGTCTTATCAGGAAATATACATGTAGACAGACAGGATACTACTTTCTTAACTTTATATTTATAACTGGCATTCAGCACATTATCATTAATAGCCATATTCTCCCTCTGAAACAAAATAAATAATATATAGGACTTGATACATTGCATATTTAAGATAATACAAAAGATAAGATATTATGTGTGAAGCTGTCAGAAACATTTAGGCATTTTTTTAAGAGGGGAAAATGGACCATTGGCTTTGCCTGCCTTAGATGAGGCGAGCGAGAGTGTCAGACTCTTACTGACTAAAAACCATCCCGTTCCTTTTTCTGCTTCAAACTGGAGCTCCGATAACCTATTAAGTTGTCCGCAGCTCCAGATTGAACATTTGAGCATAGCATCCAAATTACGCATTATAACAAAAAAAAATGTTTTTTTTGAAGAATATGTGATAGACATAAAATAACAAAATTATCTGTTTTTTTTTAATGTTGTCAAGTAAAACTCCAAATAGCATGTTTAATGACCAAATGATAATTTATGTTTAGTACTCATACTAACACTAATAAGTCATAATTAAACAAGTACATATAGATTTGATTAGTCCAAGTTTAATCAAGTAGGAAATGTTAAAACACTGCTAATGTATGCTATTAAAATTAATTAAGCACTTAGGTATCTTATCAACATCTCAACATAATAACATACTTTGATGGCAATAATAGCTTATCTAATTCTTACAATAACAAGTACTTTAAGTTACTTACAAAGAAGTCTAAATTGTGTGCCATGTTGTGGAATAGTCCTCCGACCATGGCAGCTAAATGTATCACATGTGTGGGTTGATGTCTCTCAAACAAAGCATCCGTTTGGGCCTTATCTCTGAAATAAATACACAGAATACTGGTTATTGTGTTATAAATTGTAGAAATTTAACGTTACACCTCTTCTATAGACAAAAGAACCTTAAGTTATTATGTTTTGGGCTTACTTACGTAATAATTTTACAAGGAAATCGACTAGTTTCAAGCCATGCTAGAGGCTCATATTCATGAGCAGCATTTCGCGACTCGCGACCCGCGACGCGGCGACAGTCGAAAACATAATAATTTATTTAATATGTCTCACGGAAGTTACAATACAAATAAAAAAACCTATTGCCCTCTCTTTATGTCTATAGCTGATTGCTTTAAGTTTTTTTTGGGTTGGCAAGGCTCATGTACCTAATGCCCCAAGTGTAGCAAGCATTCATAGTCCACCATCGTAAAAAAAGTCCCTACCTGCCTAATGATGTTGACACCAATTCCAAATGGTGCTGCTAGCAGACTGCAGCAAATAAGTTCAAACGCAATACACCTCTTTCATTGAACCTCTTTTTAAGTGCTCACACTAATTCAAATGTTTTATTCTTAAATATATATCATAAAATCACGCCTTTTATCCTCGAAGCGGTAGGCAGAGGTGCAGATTATGTCACTGTACAATGTAACACCCGCTTTTCACTATTTATGTAACTTGTACTTTTTCACCATGTAATAGGGGGAGAGCCTATTGCCATATGCCAAACACAATTCCAGGCTCCGTGCTACTACTGAGAATTAAAAAAAAAACCAGTAGTACTTAGCCCAACCCGGGAATCAAACCCGAGACCCCATGCCCAGCAGTCACACTTGCGACGACTCCGCCAAAGAAGCAGTCAGTTAATATGACTTCAATGAAATTACAACACTACACCTTTTAGGTTTTCAAACCCCATTTAAATGGTGTTTTATCAGATTTAATTATAGATAACCAGTCAGCTCTTGTCTGCAACTTTGTACACATAATCCCATTTTTTTCTGTTCAGAAGGATTGTCAGAATTTTTTAAATAAAATCCTATGTCCATCTCCTTCTTCTAAGCTACCTCCCCACCAATTTACAGCCAAATTGGTTAAGCCGTTCTAACACGACTTTATTTTTTAAATATGATGATATGATGTGGTAAGTAGTTGAAACATTTTTGTTTATTGTAGGTCATGGTCACATTATGTAAGCAAATAATGTGCTAGTATTTAAAACCATAAAAAACGAATTCTATTATATTACTGAGGTAATACCATTATCAACCGGCGAAAAATTCAACGTGCATACTCAAATATAAACTAAAATATAAATACTACCTGAGGTCCCCATCCTTAGATCCACAAAATATCCAAGTTTCGTTCTTTGAATTCGCATTATTTTGGGACTTTTCTTCATTGATTACAGTTTTTATCGCCTGACCAACTAACCCGGATCCTCCAGTCACCAATATCACACGGCTTTCAGTACTCATCTGAAATAAGTTATTACATAGAAACAAGTTTGCAGTGAAGAATACAAAATGCAGTATTTTTTATTATAGGTACGATGAATTGTGTAAGATGTACAAACCTTTTACTACAGCTTTAATTTAGGTTTACTTAGATTAGATGGTGCGTATGTGGCAAATTATTAACCAACTTATTTTGAAAATTAGATTTTTGAGCGATCTATTCGGTATCAGTAGTTGTGACGTTGACGTTTAACAACAAACTGATGTTGACAGTTGACACTTCACAGTATGATTGTCAGTGTCAGTTGAAAGTCATGGAGAAGTTTTTACTTTTTTATCAAAGACAATCTAAAGCTTGAATAAATTGTATTCATGAAAAGTGTGACATGGAGCTGGCAACATTCATAATAATAATTATTTCAAGCCAAGCATAAGAAAGTTTCCTCTGGAAGACTGGAAGTAACTTTTTCTTTTCCTTCACTACATGTGCAAAGCTGCGGACTAGTATTATCTTTCATTGTTTTTTTAGTTTCCCCAAAAGGAAAATTAAAAGCGGTGTCAAATCTATTTTCTAGAACCAGGAATAGGCTGTGATAGGAAGAAAACGAGCGGAGAAGGCTTTTCCACATTTAAATAATCATGATTTTTCTCATGATTTTTCAAACGACCTTATGGGTCACTTTGATGGTCATCAGAGCCGTCTATGGACATCTGCAACATCCAAATCCAGACAAACTACAACACTTTGTTCGTTTGCATCTCCTATTTTTGCTTTACTTTTATATAGCTGATATTCAATAACTTATAACTTATAATTATATATTTGCATTATATTTATGTTACATTCTTACACTATATTGTGTAGATAATTGATATTTTGAAGTAAACATGTGAAACGAACCTATATGTGTGGAAGAACCATGCTTCGGCGCGAATGGGCCACGGCCTCACAGAAAACCAACGTGAAGCTACGTCGTATGAGTGAGGTTACCGAAGGCCCAATTACCCCTCCTCTTCATGCTCCCCAATCCTCGAATACCCCCGCAATCTTTAAATTCCCAGTTCCTTAAATAATTATAAATAAATAATAATTCTTCAAGGCTGGTAGGTAACACACTTGTAACGCCTTTGGAGTTTCAGGTGTCCATGGGCGGCGCTGATTGCTTACCATCAGTGCCATCAAGTGCTACGTCTGCTCATTAACCGGCTTTCCAAGAAAAATAAAGTATGTTTGACGTTTTCAAAACTCCTTATGACATCAGCGCCCCTAGCGACGAATTCACACGCGTTAGGTCCCCATATTTTTTAATTTTTACATTTATATTTAGGTAGTATGGCTAGAGACCTCATATTTTAATAATATTTATTTTCAACACACTTGCATTTACCATTACAGGTTTAACCTAATGTAACAGAGAAGCTACATTAAATAAAATGTGCAAAAAACGTAAATAGCAATATCCTTCGACAAAACATACATACAAGCAATAATTAATAAAATACAACTAAAAAGAAACTACAATATTAAATTATCCTAATAACATTACTAACATATCACCGAATATGCTACCCTTGTGAACTTACTCACCGAACGGTGGAATAAATCAAACTGCTCCGCTATTGCGTTAAGTGCGCGTATCGCACGAGTCATCGGAGCTTGCTTTAGAAGCTCGGTACAAGCTGTTGGTACCACCAACAACGGCGGCCGTCGTTAAAGCCTCACGTACCTATCTGGCACGCACAGCCTAAGCTCTTCCAATATCCTCGGATTGTTAATTTTTTTTAGTATTTTATTGTATTACGTTATTATTCCTTGTGCGTACTGCACTACTGCTAAGGAGTGAAATTCTTTGCCAGAGTCTGTATTTCCTGAAGGTCTGTATAACCTGGGTGTCTTCAAGACTCAAGTGAATAGGTTGCTTATGGGACGACGTGCTCTATGATAGACCGCATCATCGCTTACCAACATGCAAGATAATGGTCAAACGTCGGTCCATCAAATATAAAAAATGTATAGTATATTGTCTTTTTTAAGGGCGGAAAATCATCGAATGACTTCTCCCGCCTGGGTGAGGCGGGGGGGAGTGTCAGCCTCTTAGTTATTGTTCCGAGCTCTTATGCCACTGTCTATAATGCCAACTTAGAATGGTTGCGTTACACAGACATTCCTGCTCACGGTATAATTGTGCAAAGGAGAACGGCAGATTTAGTACCGCTTCGATAAAAAAATATTTGTCATTAAAAAATTGGGTCGTTATAGAACCTCCTAAGTACGTTATGTTAGCATATTTAATAGATTTTTAGAACTTGGGAAACCCTAGAAAAACTGATATTAAAACAATGACTAATACAAAATTTTATAGCGGTACAAAACTTCCATACAAACCTGCCATTCTCCTTTAATTCTGGCTGAATCTTCGTATTTATTTTGGGCATTTTAAAATCTCAGTCAGAGTAATAGGTACTACAAAGTTAAATTAACTAACAGACTTGTTTTTACAATAGTGGTTTTTATACTTGTAATAGCTGTACCACGATTTTATACCTTATATATCAATTTTATTACAATTGCTATCATCAAAGAATATCATCATATGCCGGAAATGTACAACAAAATTTAACATGGCGCTCGCTCCGCTCGCTCAGACAGGACAAGGAAAGAGCTTGTCTATGACTACCTATTACCTGATATTCATAACCATAACAAGTGTCTTAATAAAAAATATTATCCTCCCTTTAATGTGTTTTATTTGAGAAAGGCAATCTTTATGAGGATTTCCTCCTTTATAATGTCTCCTTTATAATGTCCTTAACAACCCAGCCTATCTTATATATATTGACTGACTCGTCCTCCTGGAGTCCTAACTAGATCTCACTTTAAGTCCCTTCTTGAAATCGTTTAACATAAAACCGATTTCTACTGTTCATGCGATGAGACTGTGGAATTCGCTGCCGTCTAACATACGTGACTCCAAGTCTATCTCCATTTTTAAACGACTTGTCAGGGATTATTATCTTTCATCCTGAAGTACAGCTTTATTTATATATAATTTATCTATGTATTATTATTATATTACGATGCGACCCGTGACTGATGCTGCTCAGGAATATGAGCCTCTACCATGGCTTGAAACTAGTCGAATTACGTGAGTAAGCTGAAAACAATAATATAATATTTAGTATATCTCACGAAAGTTATAATAAATTTATGTTAGAGATTTCTCCTTCTCGGGGTTGACCCGGTGAAAATGGGCACCGCGTCCCGCGACCCGCAGGAAAAACGATGCTCATAGCCCCCTTCTAAATTTAGTTTCTAAATCTCCTTCTTCCTCTTCTGCTGACTACTTGACTAATGACTCTGTCTGTGTGTGGTTCTGAATTTTGTGTGGGTGTAGCTTGTATGCCAGTTGTGGATTGCAAGCTTTGTGTGATGGCTGATTGAGTGGTATGTGGTGTGTGTGCTTGAGATGGTTGTAATTGATCAGAATCTGAAATGTTTGTGACGAATACTGTGTCTCCTAATACTTTGCTAAGAATGGTTGTTGTGTGAATGGCGGCTTGCTTCTGTAGAATTGTAATGTCTATTGATGTTTCTAGTTTGTCTGTGTATCTGCTGAGGCTTTTGGCCACTACTCCTGTGGCTCCAATTACTATGGGAATAACATGTGTTTCAGTATTCCAAAGGCGTCTTATCTCTGTCTTTAAAAGGTGGTATTTACTCAACTTCTCTATTTCTTTTGCTCCTATGTTTTATAATATACTAGCTTCTGCCCGCGACTTCGTACGCGCTTTCCCATTTTCCCCCCGTTCCCGTTCGTGATTTTCGGTAAAAAGTAAAAAAAAGTATTCTATAAAAAGTATCCTATGTCCGTCTCCTGGTTCTAAGCTACCTCTCTGCCAATTTTCATCTAAATCCATTGAGGCGTTCTTGAGTTATAAATAGTGTAACTAACACGACTTTCTTTTATATATATAGATATATATATATATATATATATATATTATTATATTAAATATGTATTATATTATATATGTACTTATAAGTAGTCGTTAGTAGTAAGTATCTAAATATTTCTAATTATTTTATTTATTAATTTTCATAATTTGCTTATATATTTTATTATATTCCGGTCATTTTAGTTTTAAGTTGTTTTTTTCTTTTGAATTCATTGCATGTAACATTTACCTTGTCTAATATATAATTCCTTTTCCTGTCGCAGCTCGGCAGGAAGAAATCCCATGGGATATGCAGTACCTATGTAGCTCATGCTTATAATGTGTTGGTTTTTGTAATATTGTCTACTGTATGGTGTACATGAAATGATAAATAAATAAATAAAATAAAAAATCACTCATTTCGAAAATCAGCCCTTTTCACCCACTCAAAGGGTTGCCAACCGTACTTTAAAATAGAGTATTGTCCTCTATCTATATCATGCAGGCGTACTCTATAATCTATAACACTAATAGAGGACAATAAAATACTCTTTTTTACTCAATGTATACTTAACAAGTGCCAGTCTGTAATAATATGCAAAAAACCTATGATCAGAATAAAAAGTCGACTATTTACTCTTAATTCTGTTTTACAGCCCCGTTTACAGTGGTCCAAAGATTTTTTTCAACTTCAGAGTGTGATCATTTAAAAATTACTTTAGTGTAGTATTTGGTAGCTTTTTTAAACTATTTCGAAATTTCAATTTTTGACACAATTCAACTCTGTTAAGAAAAGTACTGGACCGAATCAAAGTATAGACATCGAGCAATAGGCTAACCTGGTATAATAATTAGAGTGATGATGACATAAAAAGTACGAAACAATTATTTAATAAAAGTATAAAATAAATGATACTCTTTTTTGTAAGTCCGTACTCTTTATTTACCTCCTTTAAAATGAGACATACTCTATTTATTCTAAAAAAAGTTGGTAACCCTACCCACTCATCACGCTTCTGTAATCTATCATAATAAACTAACACATAACATTTTTATTTTTTATATTTATTTTATATTATGCCATAATACTCTATTATAGTGGTTTTTGGTGGGACTAAGGACTACTATTATAGAATTTATAAATATTTATAATTAACCATCATAAATTATGTAATATTGCAAAGCAGTAGGGAAAGCCCTTGGAATACACACAACAAATGTTTTAATTTGTCTTAAAAATCTAAGAAATATCAATAAAATAATTTCGTTACAAGACAAGGTTTTATTTTTAACAGGGGATTCCAAATTCAAAAATGTCGATGACTCACAAAAGCAATTTACATCATAGCAGCACTTTTTAAAACTAAAGAAATCTTGTCTATGTGAAAATACTGAATAACGATTGGCCCGTCGATTCTCTACGAGCATTCGTTCTCGCTCCGAAAACGCCAAATACGCTTTCAAACCAAAATGGAGGATTTGTCGGTCGAGGTGTACGGTGATAATGGTGCTTATTACAAGGTTTGTAAATTGTGAAGTACATTACCATTCTACACAACTAGTATTAAGCTGGCTAGTTCAATATTTATTCAATTATTTGTACAGATCAGTACCTTTGTAATTTTTATACTTACAAAAATATTTTCCGGCAAGATCATCACGGCTGGAATGGACGCCATGTCCGCCTGTCAGGGCGTGATTTTTCCATGTGTTGTAATAATTACGCTGCTTTCTGTAATTTTTACTGCGATTTAGGTATTATGAAATTGGGGAGATATGCGACGCAATTTTGTATTTGCGCATATATACATAAATGACCTAGATATCTTATTTCTAGCGGACCACGAAGTTGGTGTATAGTCGGAATGTTCTAAAAATCTCTTTATTTTTAGGCCATTGTCACCGACGTTCTCGACAACGAGGTTCTCGTAGCCTTTGAAAATGAGTAAGTATTGGCATTTTGGTATCTTTATTGTTATGAATAAATTTGAGATGAAAAAGTGCGGGTATTTTTATTTATATTTAATACTTTGTTTTGTAGCTGGCAGCCGGAGTCGAAATTCCCGTTCTCCCAAGTGTTTTTACCACCAAAAGACACAGGCAAGCACACAGAGTTCGTGGAAAACCAAGAGGTGGAGGTATTCGCGAGGTCCAATGAAAAGGAAGCATGTGGGTGGTGGACAGCAAACATCAAGGTATTGAATTACACATACTTATTTTGTAGTGCACCCTATCTCACTAAGTTGTCCTCAAGTGATATATCATTCTATAGGCATGCTAAGAAGCATGTAATAAGTGGTAACACATAATAACTATCTATAAAAGTACTTTTTTAAATTATATCACTAGGCATGCATTTAAACTTGCTCTAAAAGTCAATTGTTATTCTATTTATTATAGCATTTCAATTTCAATTAACAGTAATATACTAGGAATTAATTTACCAATTTATTAATTAAAATGAAATAGACAGCTGTATGTATAACTTAATTAAACAACTACCTACCTTTTAATACTTTTAATATTTTAAAAATTATGTGGTATGTTACTTTATTGAATTGGATTTATTATACATAAATTTTAACCAAACATACAGGAACTGCAGTTGACTCCAATCAATAAACTTGTACCTATGATATTTTCAAAGATAACATGTTGTTTGTGTATTATTGATTAAACAACAAAGGGATGAAAGTTGTGATGCATGGTTGATTGGGGGGGTGTTGTTCATTGAACTATTATATCCACTAAATATCTTGGCACTATGCAGAATATAGTATAGAAAAGTAATTTTATTCATTCATAAAATAGTTGTCTGAGAAAGTAAGCATACACATCTCTGCATAACCTAAAGATTGACTGGCAGAGAATGCTGTTGGCACAATAAGGCCTAGTGGGCCATCCAAATGTTTATGAAGAATAATGAACATTAAGTATTATTCATATCTCCTTAGAACTTCAATTAAAAAAAAATAGATTTATTATGTATTTCAATTATTTAGGTGTAATGACATGCAACTTAAACTGTACCCTACTTTAGTTGCACTTTCACTCTAGTATAACATGCTTACAGTTGGACAACAATAATTGTGCTGTGGAAAAAATAATAGTTTGCTTTTTTAGGCCTTGATTGTTGTTATTTCATTAAAGACTTTAGCAATTCTCTATATGACTTGTTACTGTGTATTTCTATTTGGTTATTGTTATTCATTATTACCCTATTATAGAATGGAGGAGTTTGTTTATAGGATCAAAGAGGTTCTTTTGTGGAATACATGTAAAATTTAAATGTATTAAGTTGTTAGAGAAATGATGATCTTAGATCCTACATGCTTCTAAGTTAAAGCGTTCATTTCAATTAAACCATACAAAGGTACTTTAGAAACATATAAAAAAATATATTAATAGTCAATAGTCTATCAGTCTATTTATCAGTAGAACTAGGTGCAATGCATTATACGTGCTTTCTTTATGGAAATACATACCAGCAAAACATGTGATAATGACAATAAAATTTTGATTTATCTCAATCTCTCAATATTTATGTAACATAAGATTATTTTTACTTGATGATTTTCACTTTTACTATTGTGTTTATGTATGTTCTCTGGTTAAATGAATATTAAATGAATTTAAATTAACTCTTTATTGTCTTCAAAAAGTTTTGCTATGCTCATCTTCAAAATTGATACAATTACATTCATGTTTTTTTTAACATTCATCCTTATTTCTAGCCATTGTTTTATGGAGTGCTGGAAGGTTTCGACAGTTCCATTTTAAAGTGTCCTAATATTGCAGTATTTTTATTTGCTTTCAATTTGATTAAATCACATTTAATTAAATTACAAATCTTTCTGGTAAAAAAAAAATTGAATGCATGTGTTATGCTGTATCCAATTAGGGAATTGTATAAAACGCCGTAAATGGCGCATTGCGCATTTCTTGAGGAAAGAAAATGAGATCAATGGTGCATATTATGCTTCAATGCCGTCAATATACTTCCGGGTATTACCGCCTTTTCCTATACCCGGGCTTTGGGTTTATTATTTATAATGAGGTAATTTTCTTAAGGACTTTGGAAAATGTTCACCAATCATGTAGAATAATTTTGCAGTTTTTGCTAAATTTTAAGTTTATAAAGTATAATGAAAGTTAGGAATCCGTTTTTATTTTATGCGAAAAAGTACATGAAAATGATGACAATAATTTCAAATAGGTACAACAATATTGAATCAAATTGACATTTTTAAAGTAATATTTTTAAATATAATGTTTCTTATTTCCAGATGATGAGAGGCGACTTTCTTGTAATAGAATACCTAGAATGGGACAACTGCTACACGGAAATTGTGCCAAAGGACCGCCTCCGAGTGAAGACTCCCAAGACACCTATTGACAAGAGCACCTTCCACAAGTTCGAAATAACCGTACCGGATGATCTCAAGGACTAGTGAGTACTTGTTGCTATATTAGTTACTTAACATTCGGGGCAATGACCTCACTTTTGTTGGAAAACTGATGCAAAACCATGAGTACAATATTATTTTATTATTGTTCAGATCAACATGATCACTAATTAATAATCAGACAATAATTTACAAGGAAAATGGTAAAAGTTGTATTTCTCTTAGCAATTTTCGTTTTTACGACAAGTTTTTAGTTCGCGTAGGATGCAAGACGAAAGTTGTGTGGTATCTTTGACTCGCGTGTTAAAACATAAATAACACAGTTTGTGTTTGGGTTGTGGCCTGATTTATCTGAACTATCTAAGTAGTACTGTTTTATTACCACAACCACTGGTTACCCATTTAACACGAATTTTGTACACCAGGCACATACTTAAAAACTACTAAGTCTTAAAGTATAATGATAACAGAAACTGATAATATCCAATATGTTCAAAATTGTTGGATTATATTCAAAATTAGGAGCTTGTTTCACTGTTAGTTACATTTATGTTCCTTTACATTTCAAACAAAATATGTCTGCTAACAATAGAAACAACTTAGCAGTAAAACATGAGTATAATTATTGTTAGAATATTGTGACCTTAAATGAGTGTTTGATGTCCAGTGCGAAGGTGGAGAACGCCCACAAGGAGTTCCAGAAGGCGATAGGCGCCGCGCTCGTGTGGTACGTGCCGGAGCGCGGCGTGCTGGCCGTCGTGTCGCGCTGCGAGACCTCGCACAAGCGCGCGCAGATGCTGCAGGAGATGCACTTTAGGTAACTCGCGGCTTGTACTGCACACGTACTCTACTCATACAATGATACACAAACCTGTTACCATCGTAACAGACAGTTCATTTAGGTATATTGTAGTCACATGTGTGTTGAGATTGAATGCAACCACATCCTCAGTTTAATCACTCTATCATCCATATTTCAATACCACATGTCTAGTTTTCTCTTACATTAATATTCATCTCTTTACAATTCAAGAGAGATTATGATCATTCTTATGCAGTAAAATGCAAATAAATGAGCACTTCACTGGGATCCCAATTATAAAGTATCAATTGAGGTCCTATTTGTTTGGGCAGCAGACTCACTGCTACAACAAAATTCGTGCTAACATTATCAATATAAGCCACAGGGCCAGCGGTACTAAGGCTCTTGCCGAATTGGTAGTATTAGGCTTATGACATTGCAATTAAATAGTATTTTGCTTTTCATGTCTTTCGTCTAACAATGTCAGCATTTTACTAATGAAATTGTTCAATTGTACATTATTCTTTACAGGAATCTAACTCAAAAGCTGTTATTGCTGAAAAAGACTGAAGAAGCAGCCAAACAGTTGGAGTCCACTAAAATACATAATCAGGGCGGGTGAGTACCTACAGTACCTATGCAGTACACATTTCCCATAGTACTACTTTGTTTGTCTATCAATTAAGAATCAAGTATGAATGAAGAGCATAACAAGAGATTTCCGGATAAAATGACATTGTACAATCATGTAATTCTCAGTAAACTGTCGAAAATTAGGTGTATGATACAACTCAACTTCTCCTGGGACAAGTTGTAATTGTAATGTCTGATAACATTGTTTGTATTTTTTAGGTCTTCCTTATTCACGTTTTTATCTAAGTCGGGAAACATGTTATGTATTGTGTTACTCGTGGCTTAACGGTAAAATGGGGTGAATAGGGTTTGAGCGACGAAAAGGGACAGAAGAGGGGTGAATCGATACTATGGAGAATTTCCTTATATCTATACACCCTTCTGTCCCTATTCACCCAATTGTACGGGAGGTACTTAAACATCTTCGTTACATGTTCATTATAAGCCAGACTATAAGAGCCTGTCTTTATAGAGATTTGCCGCAATCCTCTCGCTTGGTGGGCAACTAAGCCACTTTTGTTCAAATACTCAAACTCTACTCAATTTTAAGTCGCGCTTAAGTATAGTTCTGTCACTACAAATTCTGTGTAATATGAAAGATGCCACGATATTTAAATACAACTTAAAATTGAGAGTAGCATTTCAGTATTCGGACGTTTGGGACGCATTGTTAACTGAATTTGACGCATGTTACGAGGATATAAAAACTTTTTCATATTCATTCCATTCATTCAATAACTTGCATCAGTTCTAAACCACCCTATTGTATTGATTGATAACACAATCGCATGTGAAATAGTAATTACGAACTCTCTGATTAACGTGTAGACAATGTGACGTCACAAGCAAAATATTATGTTTATGTTACTTTTATCAGTTGCTTTCGTTATTCATAGATTGTGATGTGACGCTACGCTTTCTCTGTCGACGACGTGAATCGTATTGTAGCACGTCTATTGAATATAAAAGGCGTTTCTTATCTGTATTAGGTACATAATGGCTTCCTATTAAATTACTATAACATTATGACTTTACATACATGTCTGGTTTCTAGGGGCTTCCCCCATAGCTAGATCATATTTTATTCTTGTAATAAAATGACACTCTTCTATGATCTATGCCATTATACTACCATTTGTCACTTCTAGAAAAGTCGAGAATAAGCATTGTTTGTTAAATACTTAGCATGTTCAGTTAACATAAAAATTAGCAGAACGTGTTGTGAAAAAATGTTTATTTTCGGCAAATCGGTTTCCGCATGCCCCAGCGACACGTGATATGTAGCACGCATGCAACAAATTAAAGCTTCGTGGACGCATTCTTGCGTGGAACGTACCCTACTTTGTTTGATTGCAATCGCGCTCGATATTTTTATACAATGATCGATGGTTTCAAGAAAAACGGTGTCAGTTGCTTGTCAGCCAGCGCGTTGTACATAATTTTTTTTTAGGAATCTTCGAGATTATCATAATCTCGAAGATTCCAGAAGAAGATATTTTTAGATTTACTGATGATTGCTCCTTAATTTTTTCTACATCGATTGGATATTGTACACATTTTAATCAAGTGAATGGCAGTAACATACACATTAATAATGTAAAGTAATTTTCACGTTGTGATAATAATATTCCCTCATGGGGTAATACCACCTTTTCGGCGAATCCTCTCAATTCCTGCTATAATTTTATTTAGTGTTTTGCATTTTATGGTGTGACTACTAGATCAATAACATTATACGTAGGTCACTACAAAAGTTTTGTCGTACTCCGTGAAATATTATTTTTTTTCGAAGTATTCTCCATTGGCACTTAGGCAGGTCTTCATACGTGCAAACCACGTATCAAAGATGTCGCTCCAGAATCCTTCCTGCACACTGCTGCATATCTCCTCAAAAGCACCTAAAAGTTGGTCATCATTAGTAAACTTGCGGCCTTTTAGTTGCTTTTTTACATATGGGAACAGGCCAAAATCACACGGTGCTAAGTCTGGGCTATAAGGAGGGTGTCCCAGTAATTTGATCCCAGTTTGACTCAGATAGTCCACAGTTTTGCCGGCTCGATGCGCGGGAGCGTTATCATGATGCAAGAACCAAGTGTCGAGTCTTGAGTTTGGACGTTCATTTTTCAAAGATTCTAAAACTTGAGGTAAACATTTTTCAGTGTACCAGGCAGCTGTCACAGTCTTCTGTTTATCAAGCACAATTATTGATAAAATACCTCTTCTGGAGAAAAATACGGCTACCATTCTTTTTTTGACTGACCGGGACATTTTAACGGACGTCGGAGGATCTTCGTCTTCAAACACCCACACTTTACTCTGGGATTTAGTTGGAACGTCGAAATAATACAGCCAGGTTTCGTCACCAGTGATAATTGAATTCACATAGTTAGATTTGCCGTCATTGAATTTTTTTAACATTTCTTTACACCATTTGACGCGCTGTTCCCTAATCGCATCAGTTAGCAAATGTGGTACCCAAAGTGAACAAAGCTTTCGTACTCCTAAGTTTTCATGAAGAATTCGATGAATAGTTGGTGCACTTAAATTGAGTGTTTCCTCGATCTGACGGTATGTTACATGGCGATCTCCTTCAATCACTTTTCGCACAGCCACAATATTCTTATCAGTGGTTGCGTCAATCGGCCTGCCCGGTCTTGAATCGTCTTCTAAATTAAAATTGCCGCGATTGAATTGTAAAAACCATCTTTCTATAGTCCTAAGGGATGGACAATTATCACCCAACACACCACTCATTTCTTCGAAGCATTGTTGTTTTGATAATCCACGCTTAAAGTTATACAAAATTATCACCCGAACGTCACGACGATTTAAATCTGACATATCCAATTGTTAAAAAATTCACTAAAAAAATACTAAGCTAGTTACTCCAACGAAACTTATGCAAAATATGTTGACATTAGTTGATGTATTAGAATCTACCCTCAGTTGAATTATAACTATTAACTATTTGTCATACGACAAAACTTTTGTAGTGACCTACGTACGTACCTACAATAGTTTACACTAAAAATTTACTGAGTTTTTTGGTTGGAAGTACTTTATATTAAAGAGGATGTCTTGTTCCAGCTATACAGACGAATTCTCTGTTCGTGAAGATCTGATGGGATTGGCAATCGGAACGCACGGAGCTAACATACAACAGGCACGCAAGGTGTCTGGAGTCACCAACATTGAGCTGGAGGAGGTCTCATGCACGTTCAAGATCTGTGGCGAGGTCTGCATCTATTTACTGTACTATATTGTTATACGATAGTGATGAGAGCGAGCGTGACGAGCTACGTGGTATGTTCCAGTCGGTGGAGGCCGTGCGCGCCGCGCGGTCGCTGCTGGAGTACGCGGAGGAGTCCATCAAGGTGCCGCGCGCGCTCGTGGGGAAGGTCATCGGGAAAAACGGGAAGGTCATACAGGAGATCGTCGACAAGAGCGGAGTCGTGCGCGTCAAGGTGGAGGGAGACAACGAGCCCCAGCCGTCCGCGCCGCGCGAGGAGGGCATGGTGCCCTTCGTGTTCGTGGGCACGAGGGAGAACATCGCCAACGCCAAGGTGCTGGTGGAGTACCACGTGGCGCACCTCAAGGAGGTGGAGCAGCTGCGCGCAGAGAAGCAGGAGATCGACCAGCAGCTGCGCTCCGTGCTCGGCGGCGGCGCGCAGACATACCCGCCGCCCAGGGGGCAGCCGCCCGCGCGCGCGCGCCGCACGCGCCCGCCGCACCACCGCTACCCCACCGGTCCGGACTCTGTCTTTACAACACAATCATTAATGTCAACGTCAACGTTGTGTTACATTTCGTATTTGTACGTTGCAGCGGGCGGGCGACGCATGACGCCGGAGTTGGGCGACGAGCGCAGCGATAGTGCCGGATACCGCGGCCGCGGGGGACGGGCGCCCAGACCGAACAGGTACTACTACCTCGCTCAATACATTACACTAAGCTTTGGAAATATAATCTATTGTTCATAACGATCTTTTAAGATTACTTGTAATAGTTACAGCTTGACAAAAAAGAGTTTGGATAATTGAGGTTGCTAGTGTTGTACCCATAGCAACCTTGAACACTGACTCAAACGGTTTTGATATTTGTTTTTTTTATCGAGTTTAAAAAGAGGGTTAAAAAGGTACTCATGTTTGGAATTTGGATGATTGTCTCTGTATTAGATATGGTCCAAAGTGGGTGATTCAGTCCAAGTCAATATTAGTTTATGCTGTCATCGCATCATAATCTTTTTTACCAAGCTGTACATAAAAAGTGATCGCTGTGTGTATTCTATCACGGAGTGTCCCGGGCGCAGGTCGAGCGAGCGTGGCGAGCGCCGCGTGCCGCTGGAGAACGGGCGCGCGCACCCCGCGCCGCCGCGCCAGCCGCGCACTACTGCACCAGTACGTATACACCTACACCACACTACTGCTACATTACTTGGCCACGACCTAGTGCTACCATCCAACAGTTATGAGGGATGGGGTTATACTGCCTTATACTGACCACCGCGACTTATTTGTTATTCCATTCTGCTGAGAGTTTCGAAAATTCTATGTCTCAACTTGGGATCGAATCTGTAAACACGTTGCTTGATTGTCATTTTTGCAAATTACCATTCATTAGAATTTGTAAAGTTAAATGTAAGTACCTACTTGTGTAATATTTACCCAATGGTGGTCTTTAGTGTTCCTTAACCAACTTCTAAATACTATTTGTAACTTGCAAAACATTCCAGCTATCATACAAGTACTATTCCTTATAATTTATAAGTTAAATCTTATCCAGAAATGCTAATGCTTAGATCTTTAAAATTATGCAACAGACAGATTTTTAAGATTTTTTTTAGTAGGTAGAGTGATTCAAGAGGTTGGTTTTATGTATAATAACTAGCTTCTGCCAGCGGCTTCGTCCGTTTCCAGGGGTAAAAAATTACTTTAAACCATATTCTACCTCTGTTCCAAATTTCATCCCGGTCCCTTCAGACGTTTTGATGTGACTGAGTTACAAACATACACACAAATTCTCATGTTTTCGCATTTATAATAGCGGTTCAAGCTAATTTCAACCATTGACCCTACAGTTATAGCGTAAAGTCCACTGCGGGGAACTTAGTATTCGATAAACTCATATGTATTTGCGTTTGGTACAGTAACTGTCTAAGGATCGAGTCGCACAATTAAGTTTGTTTTTTGTGTATATAGTTTTTCGAGATAAAAAGTACCCAGTGTGATGCTCAGGATATTAAAGTATAATCATACCAAGTTTCATCGTAATCGGACCGGTAGTCTTTGTGTGATGCGTGATCATACAGAGAGAAAAAAAAAATTATCACATTTTTGGTTTCGGTATTTATCTAGTAACTCCCCCTACTATTTATTTTTTTAACTAGCTGTGCCACCGACTTCGCGTGGAGTAGTGATTCACAGCTCTTTCCTCGTGATAATATGTAGCCTATATGTTGAACCGACCTGTTAGTAATATTCATGCAAAATGCAAAATTAGAAATAAATCCATACAGTACTTTTTGAGTTTAACCTAGACATACATACAGACAAACAGACAAAAATTCTAAAAACCATTCTTCAAGCATTCTTTTAAACAAATATTCAATGTGCAGTTTTCACTTTCCTTACAATTTTATTATATGTATAGAAGATAACTCCGAACTTCGTGTGCGAAACCGCGGGCAAAAGCTATTTAAATATACAAAAATATATTTAAATATAATAAACTTTCTGTTAAATTCATGAGTAGTTTGGTCGTAGAGTTACAAGATTTACTTATTAGTTTGTTTGCAGATTTATTTCAATATTTAATGTATTTACTGAAGAAAGAAACACAAATAACACAAAGTAAATGAATATTTCCAGAGTGGCAGACGACGCGAAGACAGACGGAGGCAAACTGATGATGAGAGCAGTGTGCTAGACAGCCAGGACGTGTCCAGTGCGGACCGAGGTACGACATAGTCGCGCTTGTACACACTCGCCACTCACTGGGCGCTCGACAAACTGCCTCACGGTTGTGATAGGACATTGCTTCGCCATTATGTACTTTACACAACGTCTCACTCCGAGACTCTCTTGAAAATGCTCTCAAACGTGGTGGTGTATTCCACTCTGCTCCACTACACATATCTATTCATATATTCTATTTTTGAATGACTTGAGATTGTTATTTTTTGTTCTTAATTTGTACCTTCATGGGTATGAAATTTAATTCTCCTCTTATCCTTAAGATAGTATTTTGTTATGCCAATTATGATGTTTTAAATAAATTTTCCCTTGGGTCACTTCCCTTCAGTGCCCTTTATACAAGTGCACTAAAAAGGGTATGTATTCTGTTAATGAAAGTTGCAATGAATGTAACAGTAGAATTAGATGTGAAATAATCTCTCGATTATTTTTACAGTGAGTCAGATTGGAATACACTGCCGTCGCGTAATGTTCTTAGAATTTAATGAATACTTTAGTCTTTAAATGTTGAAATAAAAATATTATCGGATTCCTTGCGTTTGAATTTTAATATTATATTAGAATGTAGATTAGAAGATACATTAAGATGGGACTTGCATTGCCCTTGGTCTTTCCGGAAGACATTTCAACAAGTACAAAGTAGTGTTAACACAGATTATTTCAAAGAAGACTCATTCAAAATCAGTATTTTTTTATTTTTATGATCAACTATAAATTGATGAATATCTATATTATGCCGTATAGTTCGTCATAGGTGTACAGCCGTATGGTTTGTCGATCGCTCACACACATGAAGCTGTTTACCCATTATTATGAAATGTAGGTTTGCTGATGCAATAGAAAAGCTATGCTATAAACCATTATAAAAATCTGAAAATATTACTGAATGTGCTAGTTAAAATGTAGTTGTAGTGATTATTTCATAAGTGTATTTATGCATTATAATTTTATATGTTTATTTTTCTGTGCACCCCGTTTTACATTTTAATTAGTACATAATCTGTAGAAGGATGAATGGGAAGTTTTAGTTATATTTCGTTGTCAGTTAGTTACTCGGGGTGAATAGTTGTTTGCTATATATGAACAATGTGTTTCCTATTTTCGCTTTTTGCTACGGTTTGGTCTCGGTATGTTTACTAATACTTCGGTGAGGGCTAAACTAAACACAGCATCTATGATTGTCAATGTCATACGTAGTTTCTGTGTTTTAGTTCTATTAGCTGTTTGATTTTCATTTGGATCATTTTCGAAGTATACAAGTATAGTGTCGTGTCAGTATAACATGTAACTAAGTCTGAGTACTAAGTAGTATCGCATTGAGTATGAGTGGGCCGAGTCGGCGGCGGATAGCAAACGACTAGTCCCCCGGTAGTCGCGCAATGTTGGCACTCGTGGCATCCTGTGTGTCCAGACTCCGCCACGTCGGACGAGGGGCGCGGCGCCGGCGACAGCCACGCGCGGCGCAGGCGGCGCAGGAGGACAGGTACACGGGGGCGCGCTCCCACATCACACTATATCTAATGCTTTTCATTGGTCACTTTTTTATAAAAATATAAACCTTAATGATCTCACCTGAACTTTGGATACACTTATCACGCGTGCACATCAGCGATCTAACACGATTGTGAGTAAAATGCATGTTTTGATTTTAATTTGTGTGTTTTGCACTAAAAGTTTCTAGTCTCCTTCTAGTCTACGGCTTTATCATAATAATATCTCTTATCATAGTTTTATGTAGTAGACACGTATAGATCGCATGAATTAGCCACTCGCCCACATGATGTAAGATTTTCAGATTTAAGAGCTCTAGAGTCAAAGTAGAGAGCTCTCGAGCACGGCCCATATCTCGCTTGTGTTGCAGGAGGCGGGTGGAAGAACGGGCTGAGCGGCGGCGGGGGCGCGGGCGGCGGCGGGGGCGCGGGCGCGGGCGGTGGCGCAGCGGGCGAGGGTGCGCGTGCGGCGCCCCCGTCGAAGCGCCGGTCGCCGCTGGCCAAGCCCAAGCCCGAGGCGCTGCTCAACGGCACCGCGTAGGCCGCGCCCCCGCCCGCGCCCCCGCGCCCCCGGCCGGCCCCGGCCCGGCCGGCCCTGACGTGACGCCAGCCGCGCCCGCGCGGCGCATATAATTATCCTAACGTAACGTAACATGTATGGCGCGGCCCCCGCCGCCGCCGGGGGCCCGCCGTCACTAGACTTACTCGTATTATGCTTTTGTAAGAGATTCGTGATTTGTATTCCTGATTACTCGATAATATGAAAAATTAAAGATGTGTACGTCGCTCCCGGACGATACGCGCCGACCGCGGCCTTTCGGTACCTTTATGGGAGATCGGACATAGCGCAGTACATACGTGTTCGTAGCCTGTACTCTGTGGTTATGTGATTTCCTATAAAATAAACATTTCTGTACATATTTTCAATCGTATTTTTATTTGTACGAATAGTTCGTTCCGTCGTTTCCTCCCTGTCTAAATTACAGAGCGTAGCGACCTTACAATTTTTTACAATATACACATAATTATGATGTTGAAATACAATTTTAATACTTTATAAAAATAGTATGACTAGTTGGAATGTTACATTTAGTTCTTAAATTAATAATACTATAAACTCGAAAGGTACCTCGATAGGAAGGGGGCGGGATACATATATTTAGTTTGGTGTGACACTAAGAATTTAAAATTCTAAATGTGATTCTTATGACACAGACCTATTAACAAATATTTACAGAACTAGACTAAATATCAGTCATATAACAGTACCGTGATATGCATTATTGCCGGGATATCACTAGGAAGTATTTACAAAGATATGACATCAGGTAAGAGACGGGAGTACGTGACTAACGTGAAGCGAAAAGAAATGGCAAGTTCACAAAACTAGGCCACGTACGAAGTAGAGATAATCTATTATAAACATGGATACATTACATTTGCTACTGATATAATTTGATGCACTAGTTTTGTGAACTGGCCTTTAATGTATTACATCGAGTCCTAACTTACCTACTTAATTTAAACACGAGAACTTCCAAGAATACATGACAAAGTAAAACATATTATTTCAGATTCAGGTTTAGAATGATCATATGACATTACTTATTACGAATCGAAAAATACATAAAAAAACAGCGTTACATTGCTATGTTCCAGATTTTTTACTTGTTTTAGAGTTAGTACTTGTCTATGCTATGTAAACCAATTGTTTTCCAGCAAAGGAAACGACAAAAATACAAAAAAAGATCGTATCTAAATGATTACGTAGGATTCGTAGTCGATGTTAACGAAATTGACAATCGCTGGAGCAACAATATTGGTATTGTCCAGTTGTACGGATATAGCATCATCCATGTAATAATGTACTATGTATTACAGTGTAGATTCTTTAGAAAGTTGCTTTTTGATAATAATAAACATAGTTTGCGTTATGTGCAATAATATTAAATACCCAAGTCTTCTTCAAAATGGTTGTCTTTGTTTTAAGTACTTAGACTAAATGAGTATGTATGTAGTTATTCTTAGACACTCTTCATGGAATCACCAAATTATTAAGTATTTCTAATCACTTCACATCGTTCGTCTCCTTTACGTAGTAGGTACATATGCTTGTACAAAATGATATGTGTCTACACTGTACAATAATTAGGCTTCAGTATATATAGTACTATATACTTAGGAATACTGTAATATTTCCTATTATAACATTCTTTTGGAAAGTCACTGGTGACTATTATTATGAGAAAAGCATTGTTTTTGTAAATTCATTAAACATTGTATACTTTTTAAGTAAACGCTGGAATCTTTTAAGACCCAGATATAATTTTGATTCATGGCATAAAATATATGCGTTTTTTACTGACTTGATTGAAGTTTTAATACCTTTACAGCCTACTATTTTATCATTACTCTGAGAATATTTAGATCATTTTGACATCGTGTAGAACATTACGTTTGAGACAAGCGTGTAGCTAAACCGGTTCGGTAACCAAATAACGTGAGCTCAAAAACTGTTTTCATATAATCTTAGTAAAAGGGCCATTTAGATTATGTAGTGCTGGTTTTTGAGAAAATCGAAAATTTTAGTGTACCATATTCTAGAATTATTCAGTTAGCAGTTGCACTACATCTTAAACGAATTCAACTTGATTGAGAATAGGTAAATCCGTACTGTACGACTAGATTTTGTAATAGCGAGTTGCTTTACGCCTGTATTAGCAAAACCGAATTTAATTGCTTGCAGTATGTAATGCAGTTAGATAATGGAATTAACCAACTAATTTATGGAAAGGAAAAAATATGTTCAACTTAAGATACACTAAAACTAATAGAGAAAATTAAATAAAAGAAACCTAAGAATGTCTATTAACAGAGAGCTTACTATTAATCTGTCAAACACCAAGCGGTCACCGGTGACCGCGACCTATTGTTCTTTAATTGTGTCTATAAAACCGGTACTCGACGAGTTAACCCTTAAATTGCCACGTCAGTCACCGGTGCCTGACGCCGGTGGAGGTTTGACTTTTACCTTTTTAAACTTGACAAGTCCAAAGTGTTAACGAACTTTACTTCATTTTTTAAAAGAGTATATTCCACGTACCTAGGTACCACAGAAGTTTAGAATTTAGCTACACGCTTGTTTATAAGAAGAATTGTACAGAAGTTTTCAAACAAAAGTGCCCAACTTAGTGGGCTTTTCCCCGGCAATAATGAGGTGGTGGCATTAGAGTAATCGATGCCTGTCCTCGTGGCACGTCTCCAGATCGCTGTCATCGGAGTCTGAATGCGAGCAGTATGAGGAGTCGCTCCAGTGCTGGAACTCTTCCTTGTGGTGCTCCAGAGCCATCAGCGAGGGAAACAGGCTGTCGCACGCACTGCATCTGTTGGAATATGATAGTTGTGTTAAAATTTGTCGTAACTCGAAGTATTTATTTATTATTTACAAGGAATACAAATATTCGGGGCACAATCCGTTCACGCAATGGATTTTTGCAACAAAATACATTATATTTGTTTCGAAGTACCTACTAGATATATAGGACTTCATAAAAAAACGTAGTAAATAAGTAAGGTTAAAAAGTAAGTAGGAAATGACTTTGATTTTAATTAAATCCAGTCAACCGCTCCCTAGATAGCGCTAGACTGGGCTACTAAAATATAGCACCATTTTATGAGATATAAAAATGGTCTTTGTAGCAACATACCCAAAATGTCGTTTCTTCTGTTGGTGGTCTGCGAGTTGGCGACGCGTTGGAAACGACCGGTCGCAAACATTGCAAGTTAGAGCTTCATCTGCAATAGAATTATAACTTTATTGTAGTAGGTACTTGTTGCTATAGATAGGTAACTAGATGCATGTAGGTACGTGATAAAAGCATCCATCTAGTTAGAAACAATGTAAGTGGCGATCTAGATTCTGACTAGGTAGGTACCCATGGGACAGGATTATGAATGCATCGGTATTTAGTGAATCTGAATTTGTATGTAAATATTATATTATGTCTCAAATGAACGTTTATTGTTTTTTAGTCCATTATTTCATTTAGTTCGTCAATTAATTTTTTAAATTAAATTACAAGTAGGATTATGTATGGCAATGAAGATTAGCTGTAACATTATAATTTATATATAATGTTACAAAGTTTGTTTATAATTATAATATTTGAATGGAATTCTAAGAAGGAATGTTTATAGTCTAGTCCACGACAAAGGGTGTAAATAATACAAAATAATAAAAATCCCAAGTATAATTGAAATTGTAAAAGGTTTTTTTACAAAAAATATTTATCGTATGTATGTAATCACGTTTCAAATTGTTTGAGCGTGTATATTATTGACAAACAATGTTAGGTAGGTACTAGTTATAATAATACCTAGGCAGTATTAATATTACTATAATAATCGTATAATAGATACTAAATAAAACACTAAAATTATCTATACCTACTTAAAGTTTTTGATACAAGTATAATGTTGTTCAGCTGACAAAAGTATTTTATTAATTAATAGATATCACAGAATGTATGCAGATATGTGCTGTGTTGGCTGACATATTGGTGTACAATCACACCTGATGATTACAAGGGTCTCAATTCGATAAAATGTGGTACATAATTAAATATAAACTTATTTATAAAAAATATAGCAAGTTACTAGTAAGCAAATGTTGAAAACTAAACAAATTATTGTGGAAGATTTAAGATTAGATTCTATTTCTAACTGAGAAAAAAACCTAATTTATTTTTTTTACAGAGTACTTATACAGTACCTACAAAGTACATTTCACCAATGCTATTGAAGTTCTAAATTAGTCTCAAGTATAAAAACAATCAATTAGATAATATTTTTAGGTTTCTAATCACATTGCAAAATTCATTAGTTATACTATAAAAGGATTTCGTTATTTGCCTTCAATAATGGAAATGGTTCCATCTTCGTGGTGAATTCATATGGTGTCAGTATATATTATCTTACTCTATGCAGTTAAGTAACGCATTATTTTCTCATCGCTATCAAATAAGTTAATAAAATAGGAAAAAGTAGATATAATAAAATCGATGAATGTTAGTGTGACTATTTTAAAATGTATAATTATTTTTGACTAACGAACCACCACAATTGCGAAATAGGAACAAAAGTACACATATATTTAAATTAAATAAAAGCATAAATTACAAATCAAAGAAGTACTCACGCGATTTAACACAAGGAAATTCTTACATGCATGTTAATAGTTGCTAATTTCATAAACAAGGCCTCGTAAGTCAGAACTGGGGCAATGCAGTAGTAGGTACATTGACCTAATGAACTAGTACATTAGAAACTTAAAATTTCCATATATATTCATAAGTTCAATCCTAGATTATACACATTTGAAATTTTCTTTGCAAGTAAGAAATTAGCTAGAAAGCCGTAAGGTCTTTAGTGAACTGAAGTGGAGCACCAAGAATCATTTCAAATTCCTATGTTTAAGAAAAAGTGTGGGATCTTATTGAATTTATTGGCTAGATGCCAATTATGTTAAATGATAAGCATTATTTTAATAAAGTAGTATAATGCCCAGGTATAGTCCCAGCCTCATATCATTTAAGAATTAAAATGGTTATTTGAAATTATTTTATGGTCAAACTCTATTCATTCAAAAGTGTTTAATGGACTACCATTACACTTAGACAAATGCTCCATAAACCCTACTATCTCCAACATGGGATTCACACCTGGAATCTTATGATCAGCCAAAGTGCTAGCAACCACTAGACCAATGAGGCAGTAGATATTACTTTAACATACTTTAACTATTATTGTAACTGGAAGTAATGGCAACAGTAAACAGTAACTGAGTAACCAGATTAACTAGAGTACATTCAAACATCACCATTTTATTTTTTATCAAATATAAAAATAACATCTTAATTATTCATATCAAAACTTAATTATTATTGCAGTCCTTGTGTAGGTATAATGTTAAATAGGTAGGGTGTTGGACACTGATGACTTGAACATGCTTCCGAAGAACCTCATGCCAGAGGAGCCTCCGGGGATGGAGCCCATCATCATCCACAGCAGGGCGACGACTTGCAGCACTGCACATACTATGGTCCACGGTGTGCTTTGCAGGTGTAGTGCACAGTACAATGTGGCTATCAGAGTCAGTAAATACAGAGAGGTAGTGAGAGCCCTCTCCTTACTGAACATTGACTTCAGGTGATTCCACGGCCCATAGAGGAAGCTGAAACTGTTTTTTAATAATGGTTAGAGGCAGCAATAATAAACTCAATGAGTTTTATGTAATCAGAATTAATAAAAATGTTTGACTGGAAGTTAGTTGTTTTTACACTTTTTAAACCAGTAAAATACTCATAAAGAATTGACAAATACATATTTATCTTAGCAATAGTCCTTTTTTAGTCTAATCAAATTAATGATTCCACTATAACTTTTATCTCTGTTATTGGAACAGTTATCAGACAAATAAAGTTATAAAGTTACCTGATGATGAAGAACATGCTGCCTAGAGTGAAGAGCAGTGCAAATTTGCGAGCTTGCAGCAGCAGTATGGGAATATACAGGAATGATAGAATAAAACATAGCACTCCAAAGAATAGACATATACCAAAGCCCATAAACCGCTGTGTTCTACTCTGAAATACAAAACAATTAGAATTAGTTCATAGTTTCAGTACATCACCAATTACTATTAAAGCAGATTTACACAGAGTCTGTATATGACTCTGAAACAATATAAGTCAGTGCTGAGTCAAAATTTTCGTCTATTATATCTATCTTTCTATTAAGTGTCCCTGTGTAAGTCTACTATTTGGATTATTTCTTATTAGTTGTTTTCAACAACCAAAAAATCTATCTATAATATGAGCTCCATGTAATGAGGACACTAGGGCAGCCTCTTTGTTTTGGCTAATGACTAATAATTTTTACAATGAGAGAATATAAGCAAATACTACGAAAACATGCAAAATATAACTTGTTAATGAGCCATGGTATACACAGCAATAACCCAAATTAAAAGATAAGAACGCAGCTTCATAGAAACGTTCACAATGATGTAATTAAGAGTAATGGCATTGTATTGTTTGTATGATTCATAATAATATCGTATGAGATTAAAATGATTAAATTCATAGTTACTTACTAGTGTGAAATATTCCTTTTGCACATTTTCAAACCACGAAGCGGTACTGCTCGCAGTACTTGGGCTCTCTTCCGTACTCCGAGTCATAAAACTTGGAGTAGAGAACGATGGTAAACTAAAATTGTAGCTCCGACGACTTTCATTCTTAAGCAAGTATTGATCTAAATCTGTTTTAAGGTTCGCCATTGTTAATTATATCACTTTGGTCCCGTTTTGTAGCTTTTTAGTACACTATTTCACAGGAATAAACGATTTCGACAATATTCTCGAAGTAGTTATTGTGAAAACACAGCCCACTTCCTTCTTTTCGTTAAAACAAACGTCAGACTAGAGAAATACAACGTTGACAGCGGACGAGTTGTCATAAAAACCATAGACTGAGTTGTCACATTGGGCTGACGCGCATGCTCCGGTTTGATGTCGAGTCTATTGAGACAAACGAACACGATTACGAAACTATTTATTCAAGTCAAGTCCTTACTTAAAATAAATAGAAATAGAGTCAATTATGAACTTACCGTAATCTGTGTCATCACTGAAGTCATCATGTGCATGTCGACGAACGTTGTTATTATATCGGTCATGCGCGCACGGTGGGCAAACCCCTCCGGTATCGCGTTCATCCAAGTCAGTGCTACTGGCGTCTGATTCGGCTTCTGCTTCCTCGATGTGAACATCATCGGTCTGTCTGTTGTCCAGTTTTTCATTTGATGATAATTGATTATAATTTTTACGCGGCGGTCTTGACTCTGAAATTGAAAACGAGAACCATCAGATGTTTGATGCGAAAGCTAGACCTAGCAGGACACGAGATGGAGAGAATTTATTTTTACCCCTCAGTAAGATAATTCGTGGTTATACTAGTCTCAGTGTTAACCTAAATATACTGTAAATAGAGACCCCTACACCGTCTACATATCTCTTGAGAAAATCACAAAAAAACGAGATATTACTTTTTATTGAGACTAGTACCATTTTACCTACTTTTTACTTATTACATTTCTTATATAAGATCCAAAATAATACGTAAGATAAATAATATGTAATCAAAACAAGTGTAGGGCATGTATCATCTCCTTGTAATTATGGTTGTTACACGGCCTCCGTGCCGCTGCCGACGCCATTACCGGCACGTTTCCCGCGCGAACCTCGACAACTTAATAACTTATTTTATTAGCTAATTTACACTGCTTGTTCGTTCTAGCTTCTCAGATGTATATTATATTATTTGAATACTTTTGGTGAGATTGGACGCAAGTTTGGTTAAATATTAAATTAAGTTGGTTGGACTTCTGTTTTTTATTCTCATTTGATGCAACCTACTATTTATCTTTAGAGTGCATAAGGTTTTGAATTATTATAAATGTATGTCACAATAGTACCTAATCATAGACACACAACTCTTTACTAAGACTGACTTCGATGTATGTACACATCGATGATTGTCCAAAAGTTACAAGAATAACTTTAGGTGAGTGAAAGAACCTTGATATTTTTCTACAGTGTAAATACATTTTCATGATCTAGTAGTGCCTATTTTAATGTAAGACTTAGCTAGGCGATAAAGGGGCCGAACGTCTCGCTCTCGCTAATCACTTACGAAGATACCTACAGGTGTAGATTATCGCGCACTAAAGGAATGGGTGACAGACTGATTACTTATTTATGTCCCTCTTGTAGAGAGCGCTATGTCACAGTTAGCAAGTAACCTCTAGGGCAAGTTTAGGTTGCAAATTAATTATTAATTTTGTAAAGTTAAAATGAGGGAAACGGCTGCGATCTGACCTCCGCAATTCAAATTTTCGGGGTTTTCATTCGGCAGGTTTGAACAAGTCATTTAAATAATTGCTAGGGTCTGTACAAATTGAAGCTAGGGAAACTTACAATGATGTATAACTTCGCGAACAATTTGTGAGCTTTCGGGAACGTACTCAGAGAATAGGTACTCTCTATCTAAGCAATTCCGGCCCAGTAATAAAAGAAAAGCACCTAAATCTTCGCGAGGAGCTCCAAAAACTAAGTGCCATAAAGCGAAGATGATTTTATGCGAAGGTCGTAAATCATTCAGCCTATACTAAGAGAAAATTTACGAGTTAAAACTCTTTTTGGGTAATCCGGTTCATTTAGGCATTGTGTAACTAAATGGTTATTTCTCTTTGTTCCAAAACACATTAGCTATTAATTCGGTTCCCTCTCCCTCTGCTCGCGACAGCCGGCAGAACATTTGTTGTCTGTGGAACCTGAAGCAGTTATTCATTAGGACCATTAGTTATCCCGTGACCTTTCTAATTGAGAATTACGAGTGTTAATGAGGTCAACCACATACATTAGAGTGCGGGAAATTGGCACTACTTTATTTATAAATTACGGTGCTTGGGGTATTTGGAAAATATTATCCGCATACATTACATGTCTGTAACGTACCTAGCCATTATTTAGTAAAACAATACTTATATGTAACTTTACGAGTTACGTAACTTAATGTCTTGCTACGAAAACGGGTTACAATATTGCTACGCCGTAGTACTTCGTAGCAACGTGCATTACCTACGTCCTTACACCTATAGAAGACACAGTAGGTACTATAAGGTAGGTAGATTAAATTTAAAAATTTCATTTTAAACTGAATTCTACTAAGATGAGTCTTGATAAAGCAGATTAGTATGATTTAAGATTTGAGTACTTTAAGTACTTACTAGAAATATTGGAATTACAAGTGCAAATCACGAATATAGATGGTATACCTACTTCAAATCCAATCTAGTCGTACAAAGGATGTAAGCGAGTACTTTATGATAAGTAGTTGAAGCACTTATCGCCACTCGATCACTTTGTATTGTTTGGTTGTTGTTTACAAAGGATTTCTAGTTTGTTGAGCATTGATATATAATAATATATATACCTATATAATGTCTATTTCTGATTAGAGTAAGTAAAGCCGCCGGCAGAAGCTAGTGGTTTATAAAATAAAATAACATAACATCATCATCACGCCTTTTATCTCCGAAGGGGTAGGCAGAGGTGTAAATTATACCATTGTACAATGTAACACCCACTTCGCTATTTATGTTATGAGTCCCATGCACAGAAAAATTAAAAAAGTGGTTCCATGTAATAGGGGGTCCACTTAGCCAACGAGGCAGTCTTTGTAAAATAACTGGCTTTTAATCTCCTTACCGCATTTGTTTGTTGACACACTTTTCATAACATAAAGTAGTATTACTACGAATACGTACATATAATTAAATCAACTGTAAATCTGAATGGCATGTTCCAAATATCAATTTTTTTCATAAAATTTCCATTTTTAATTTACGCAAGACGAAATTAATATTACATAACACATATGGTATGTATGTATGTACGTACCTATATTTCTGGAAGCAAATATCAAAATCTCATGTTTGTTTAATTTGAGTGGTAGTGGAGAAATGTTGGGCACATTCCAGCTAAATATAATTACGGATAGGGCCTGCGGCGGGCAAACACGGGGCGCAAACATTGCCGCCACTCCGCGCTGGCTTACTTTGGTTAGATTAAACCGCACTGATTGTATTAACGTGATCGCGACGACATGTATGTATGTGTTGTTTTTGTTATAATTATTGCCAGATTATGTTTGTTGAGTAAACAAAACTTGTAAGTTCTTGGAGAGTTTACGCTGTTTAGTTGGTAGTGTCACCGGTTTTCTTATAAGTTTGTTTGTGCCCAGTGGGACATAATTATGTAATTATATGGTAAGAGAGTAACATATTGATGAAGGTTTTAAAATATATTGTTTCGATAGTTGAATTGTCGCAATGAAAACTTAGGCAATTTAGAGACCTCGGGTACAGATCTCGATTCTCGAACGAACCGAATTGAAAATCTTCTCTACCTTGGAGTAGTTTATAAGTTCCTTCCCTAAATGTAGGTAAATATATCTAATACGTTTTCAGTTCCGAAACACCTACTTCGAGAGTAGGTACATTAGGCTATAGTACATTAAATATTGTATAACACAGGGTTTATTAGGTTCTCTAAAATATTCTTAGGCTTGATTGTGAAGTCGAGTGTAAAGAGGTGACAATGGACCGGTCTCCTAACTAACTAGATTATAAGGGCTAGTTAAGGTTAACCAAACGTATGAAGGTTGTATACATACTCAATAAATGACACCACATCATCTGAAAGATAATGTAAAATGTTTGTGGCTGAGTTTCTATAGTCCCATCTAATCCGGCATGGGGTAAAACTATTTAATAGTTACTCCGGCAAAAGTTTCAAAACCGAATTAGGTACCACTAATCACCACTGTTGCCCGACTAGGGTATAAAGCCGCTTAAAAATTTAATGGAACAGTAATCGATAAACACTTTGATACAATACTTAATTTAATACACAATAGTAGTTACGAAATATTTATAAAGTTACGGTGTCTTTTTCACAAAATGTACCTACAAGGCATGATAAACGCAGCCTTCATCATCAATTTAATAAAAAAAGGTGCTTTAAAAGACAAATAATACCTATAAAAGGCACGCTGAGGGCAAACAAGGAGGTTGTATTAAATTAACCCCGACTCACACCTGCGCTGAAGACTTTCGCTGATAAGTTCATGAGGAAAATTGCCTTAATTCAGTTATTTGTCGGTATTACAGACCGTCTTTTCAACCTAATACCGGCATTTTTATAACGAAAGAAATTTTAACCAAAATAATAGACGACATTTATAAGGTTTTTCTCGGATTTCGTAATTGACTCGAAGGTATAAGATTCGTTATTGTAAAGTCGATCGTTTTTTCAAACAAAGTTAAAAACTAATTAAGGTAAGTTTGTGAGGGTGTAATTTCTTGTCTAGACTTCAATTGGAGGCTTGTGTAATTTGTTTATTTAATTCGATATTCGTTTATTCAAATTAAGTCAAGTTTTAGTCCTAAAAGGCGCTTAACTCTCTAAATTAATGTTTAAGTAGAACAAATAGATCTTATTTGGAGTATGTGTCTTATGTAAACTAGATGGGTAATTCGAAAATTACAAAAATATATTTTATTCATAAAGTAAAAAAATGTGAACCTTTTCTCTTTTGTTTCCTATCGGTTGCTAAGTTGATAAAACGAATTGACCCATTTAACGATATTCGTCCTCATTCAAATTCGTAATTCGAACGAAACTGACCTAACGCTCTATAGTACGTACAGACTAAAATCTTGTGGCCCAGTTGTTCGGATGTCATGCCGATATCTACCATAGACAAGAGCAGCATAAGCTGTCACTGTCACGTCAGACCGAGCGGTAATAAATTATTCAGGAGTTCTCGTTCAAAGGCGTCACTCAAGCACCGGTTATATTGAGATTGTCCGGATAATCCGAATTTTTGTCAGAGTACGGTGGAATTATAAACGAATTGAATAGGTAAATATGTCTTGTTGGTTCTTAAACGTCTGATATTAAATACATAGGCGTTTTGCTGTGTCCGTGACAGATTTTAATCAAATCTCTTAGCGACAGTTCTAAGGAAAAGGAAGCCGTTTTGTGATCATCTGTGGGCTCGCTTATCTGTCTGTCAAAAGCGAATTTTTGGGAAAACGTTTATTTAATATGAAGCATGAGACCGCTCTTGACTAATCTGATTGTGAATGATTAAATGTTTGATATAGCGGAATGGTGTAGGGAATGAGAAAATAGAATGTAGGCACGTTTAGGGTTTTAAACGCGGACCTTTATTTAAATTGAATTTAATAACGTGTATTATTTACAATTTTAATTC